AGGCTCTGAGAGCTAAAGTGACATAGCACAGGAAGGGAGAAGTGCACTGAGCCCACAGATTTATCCCCAGAACTGACTCTTCACCACGACTTGACCTGGCCTGGACTGCAGAGCTGCCTGGACATTCCCACGCCATCCTCAGAGAGGCAGGCCTGAAACGCGTTCCTTAGCAGTAATCCACAGAGGGCCTTAGTGACAATCATGACAGTGACAGACATGCTCCCGTAAACGCCTCCCTCCTCTGGTCAGCCTGTCCACCCATCCTCTCCCTGGGCCTTTCACCACCTGGGCAGAGAGGCAGGGGAGGTAGACGCACTCTTCATTCCCATCCTGCAGACGAGGAAACCAACCTGGCCAATGGCCACAGCACACCCTGGCTCTAAACTTCCCAATCCTTCCACTGGTTCACAGGCAAAACTGGCTACATAATTTGCAGGGCCTGGTGCAAAATAAAAATCCAGGACCCCTTGTTCAAACATTACTAAGAATTTCAAGATGGTGACAGCAGTGCCTTTAACTGAGGGTGAGGCCGGCCCTGTTTACAAAACCTCCTTCCTGGAAAACAGAGGGCAGCACCTGCCAGAACCCAGTGGCTCAGACCGGGCTGCCCCATGGACTATGACAGAACTAGGCAAGCTGAGGGTCCTTCTGGGAATAGCACCCTTACTGTCTGTACCTCAGTCTCCTCATCGGAGAGGTCGAAGGCAGGCTGAACAACAGGCCTACCATGTTGGGCTGCTGTGTGGACAAACTGATACAGAGACTGCGTGGACATGGTTCGCCCCATGTCCCATGCCTCCTGAGCGCCTGTATTAGCCAACTCTGTTTTAACACCACTTTCAGCTTTGGAAATGGGGGCAGAAACAAGACCCTCTCCACCAAACGCTTGAGCTCGGCACACGTGTGCCGTGTATCAGCAGGGGAGCCCCAAGTGCAAGCTTCATTTGCATGTAGAGAGGTAGGCCCGATCCAGGCCCAAAAGTGCCTCTCTGCCCTGGGCTCTCCCCAGAGGAGATGGGGAAAGACGAAAATAAACAACATGGCAAAACACGTGTGTGCAACACACCTACCCCAGAGCAAACCCAGACGGGGGGAGGCGGGGAAGCCCAGTCTCCATCTCCTTCCTTCCTTCCTTCTTTCAGATCCACACTGACCTAAGACTCGGGGCACCTGCCGGGTGAGCTGAGCGCCGGCCGTTTCTGTCCTTGCTCGAGCGCTGGGGTGAGAAGTTCGCATGCATATGCATACTTGCACAGTCCGGGGCACTCATTAGTGTGTCTTCCACATTTCCTTTTGGGGGGTAGATGGGGACTGGCTCAGCCTGCCCCTCAGGGTCCTTCCTGACTCTCTGCCCCAGAGCCCAGATGAATGGGACAGAGGATTACAGGATTACACCCTTTCTTTACAGGAAGGTTGAGAAGGAGGAAGGGCAAAGAAAAAACCAGGGAAACGCTGCCCAAAACCTTCAAGGCTTCAGCACTGCTGTTGAAGACCTGGGTTCTGTCAAGTCAGATTCAAACCCTGGGTTCAAATCCTGGCCCACCGGTTTGGTGCTGTTGAACACCACAGTGAACACTTATTAACTACCTGCTACCCTGCCAGGGGCTGCATTAGGTGCCTCAACTCCCCAGTCTCATTTCATCTTTACAGTCCTTGAGGCTGCTGAGTGTGGTGGTGGCCTGAGGCATCTGATGACCCAGTGGGTGGAATTTGGGCTCCAGAGTTGATTTCTTCACTGAGACACAGACATAAAACTTCTCTACTGGGCCATGGTGATGAATGGGCCCCTAGAAACATGAGACACTGCAGACCAAGGGGTCAGGGACATGAGAAAGAAATCAGCACTCACATATTACCATGGCATCATCACAAAGGGTGGCATATGTTATAACTAGTGTTACTATCGCTAGTTTATGCCAGGGGAAACTGAGGTCCTAAAGGAGAGTCACAGAGAGGATGAGAATCGCTGTCCGCAAATCCACTGCTGTGCCTCTGAGTTTTCGAAAGCATAATCCTCGAATCGCCCCAGACAGTGATCCCACAGAAACACGGAAATGCAGTGCCTCCTGACGCCTGTCTGCTTTAACCCAGGCCTGGTTAGTTAAGGGCTGGAGTGAGGTGCAGAGGTCCGGGGGGAAGGCTGGTAGCCTCCAGGAAGGGCCCTGGTGCTGCTGCCTCAGGCTAGGAGGCCACCCCTCCCCTCCAGCAGGTGGGTGGCTTTAGGCCCTGCCCAGAGAATGCTCTCTGGAGCCCTGCACTCTCACCTGTACATTTGTCCCACTGGCCATCACTGTCAGATTCCTCTCTGGTCCTCCACAGAGAGAGACCTGGTTCTCTCCTGAAACGGCTACATGCCCTGTGCCCAGCACATTGCAATGGTACAAATGACACGCTCGCTGTGGGACATGGTCCCACTGGAATGATCTGGAAGAAGATAGCTCCTTCTAGACCCAAAAGAACAGGCGGCAGAGAGGAGTGGCTCTGAGCTGGGGCTCTGGGTTAGACTGACTTAGATCTAAATCCCAGTTCAGCCGTGTGGTACTAGGCAGGATGTTTCCTCTCCCCAGTTTCCATCTCCAGTTTCTGTCTGGGTGCAAAAGGGATGACAGCATCCATCCCTCGCAGGGCTGCTGTGCGGCTTAACAGAGGTGACTCTGCATGGGAAGGTGTTCAACCTCAGAGCTCAGCACATAGCAAGCGTGTCATAAAAGGGAGTTGTGATTTTTATTACACCTGGTAGGACAAACCCACAGAGCCTGCCTGGCCAAACGGACCAGACTAGTTTCTCGAAACCCTGAAACCTTCCCCTGGCTAATGACCTTTACTAGCCAGTGGCTTTGTCTGAAATCCTGTCTGGGGCTTCCCTGGACAAGCTCTGCGAAGTCCCTGAGAAGGCTCACAGCGAGCCCTGCTGTCTGCGACGAGGAACTGCCTCCTGTCCCCAGCCGGAGTGCACAACAAAAGCAGGTAGGGCCCTCCACGCAAGGCTTATGTTTCCAGAGGTTTAAGAAAACTCTCCTCAGAACAATGGCAGGGAGAAGAGTCACCACATGTAATTATGTTCAGTGGACACTAATTCCCTGTCTTCTAAAAATAAATATAATACGTGAGATCAAACGAAGTGCTCTCTCTTCCCTTGTGGTCTTTTGTTTCCCAGGATAAGTGTCATCCTAAATATACTGCAGAACCAAGTGAAACTGTCATTTCGGCGGGATATTATTTCCCCATCAACATGCGCTCTTCTTAGCAAGCTCGTTTTAATCTGGCAGTTCTTAAATTGGACTCCTTTTAAAAAGCAGAGCATGTTAAAACAAGCAGACACACCGAGAGGCTATAGACATGTACCCTCCTGGAGCGACGACCTGATGTATTCCTCCACTGATTAACTGAGGTTTGGGGAAATGGGAAACCTCCCCCCAAGTCATGACCCCATCTCTCCGGGCTGTTCCTGCTGTGTAGGGTACCTGAGGATCAGAGCCAAGATCCTGCTTCCCAGATACAGGCAGCAAGGTTCTCCGCCTCAGCTCCCAGCTCACCACACATCATGTCTGTTCATGAACTACATACCAGTGTATGATTTACAGCAGAGGGGAAAAGAGGACGAGGATTTTTGAAGTTCCCCAAAGGGTTTCTTATTCTTTACACTACAGAGTGAGAGCAAAGAGGGTAGATGTCATACAAAGATAATTCTTTCTCGTCTCCAAAACACAAGACTCTTTTGTATCCAGTTTACCTTGCAAGATGCTAACTGGCAACTCTAATAGAGGCTTCACTCTTGGCTCCTCATGCAAGCATAGAATGAAGGAACGAGACCTAGTACGTAGAATCCTAAATATTCGCCCATGTGCAGGCCACGGTGCTGCAGGTCCCCCAAGGTGTCCTGGATCCCACCCAGGCCTCAACAATGTGTTTGGGTGATGCTGACGTCATCTGCCGTTATATTCTGAGGGCAAGATGGTCTCTCTACTACCCCGCCCATGGCTGGGGAGGACCTTGGCTTCAAGCAGTTCCTTTTCATGCCCTGATATAAGGACACTTCTTTCATTGGGGGCTTGGTGCTGGGTGATGCCTACCTACTCTGAAAAGCCAAACACTGTAACATGCCAGTGTAGGGTTCACCAGCTAGGGGCCCTGGGGCAGGCCAGACTGTCGTTTTTAAAAAGTGAATTAGTTGCTGATGAATTCCCCTTAAGAATTAAGAATCCACATGGCTAGTTTCTCTTTCAAAACATGGGAATTGGTCTTATGAAGCCTGAGTCCTATGTGGCATCCCAGCTGGATGAGCAGAGAGAGGCCCTCCTGCTGCTCAGCGCCCACACAGCCTGCTGCTGCTGTTACCTGCTGAATCAAGGCAGCTGTGTTTTCCACCCCTGTGCAAGCAGGTGTTGGGGGGCTGCTTTATGTCTACAGGTAATTCATCTTTATTTCCACAGAGCCATTTAGGCCAGTGGTCCCCAACCCTGGCTTGATGGACATTAGGATCCCCTGGGGAGCTTTTGGCAAAATACCCATGTCTGGACCCCACTGTTGAAAAATGGAATCCAACTCTCTGGGGGTGCGGCCTGAACAAAGGTGTGTTTTAGCAGTCGCCAGGTGGCTGGAATGTGTGGCTGAGGTGGAAAACCAGCATCTTAAACCAAAAAGGTGGCCTGGATGGAGGGAATTTCAAGCAGATCCTGGGGTAGGGCTGGGTTTTAGCCATTGGGGCCCCTGCCCCTCATGAACCTTGTGGATGGGGACAAGGAAGTCTGCCTGCCCTTTCTCTGTCTGCCCCAGAGAGGAGGCAGCTTGACTGTTTTGACTTTTTTCCTGCACAATGCTCTGGGGAGCCACATCTGAGATTAAGGGAGATAAATCAAAGGCAGCCAAAAGATGACCTTTGAAAGATCATTGCGTGGGGCTGTAGCGGAACCATCCAGGACCCAAAGGCCACTTCTCCGAGACTCGGGCAGGCTCCCTGCCCACACGCTCGCCCCCTGGCCTGAATGAGTGCTTCTTACCTGAAGAGCTCTCGGATCTCCCTGCTGTGGGCCTGGAAGGGGATGTTCCGCACCAGGATCTTGGAGGTGGTCTGCTTTCTAGGAATTTGTTTCTTCCGAGCGGATGTCACGGCTGGCCTGGAGGGTGGAGGGGAAAGGGTTCCAGTTATTCGGGGTTTCAGCAGTTCCTGCCCAACACTGGCTCCACTGCGCCTCCATCAGAATATTCAGGTGATGGATTCAAGGAGTGTGCATGGGGTTGGCGGGGCCAACATGAAAGGACAGGAAGGCCGTCTCCCACTAGTGATGGGACCCAAAACAGCTGCAGATGTCAGGGGACACATCCATGCTTAGGTGGCTGCCGCCCTTCATTTGAGAGACTCTGGGGCCACCAGGGACCTAAAGAGCATGCTAAGGGTGGGGCTGGTTTCTCACCAAACCCAATCTCTATTGTGCCTTTCTCTCCAGATGCAAAGACCCTGGTTAGTTTTCAAAGGTCTTGTTTCTGACACTTTGTCAAAAACCCAAGGAAGAGCATGTGGGGGCCTAACCATGGAGATGGACCAGGTGTCTTGTTGTTCTGGGGCTGTGCTCATACGGTAGCCATCAGCCACATGTGGTGAGTTAAATCTAAATTAAATGAAGCAAAACTAGGCTGGGTGCGGTGGCTCAAACCTGTAATTCCAGCACTTTGGGAGACCTAGGCAGGTGGATCACCTGAGATCAGGAGTTCAAGATCAGCCTGGCCAAGATAGTGAAACCGTGTTTCTACTAAAAATACAAAAATTAGCCAGGCATGGTGACAGGCACCTATAATCCCAGCTACTTGGGAGGCTGAGGCATGAGAAGCACTTGAAGCCAGGAGGTGAAGGTTGCAGTGAGCCAAGATCATACCAATGCACTCCAGCCTGCCTGGATGACAGGGTGAGACTTAATCTAAAAAATATAGAAGCAGCAAAATTACAAACTCACTTCCTCGGTTGCTGGGGTATCAGCCTCCAAGATGCTGCCCAGTGATCCCTGGCTCTTGGTGTTCATGTCCCTGTAATCCCCTCCCACTCTGTATCGGGGCAGGTCTGGGTGCCTGGCAGTATACAGCAGAGGGATGGTGTGTGAATTCCAAGACTAGGTCGCAGAAGACATTGTGGCCTTGTCCTTCCCCATTCTTGGATCACTCACTCTGGAGAGACCAGCTGCCATGCCAGGAGGACACTCCAGCAATCCCAGAAAGAGATTCCTGAGGTGAGGAACTGAGGCCTACTGCCAACAGCTATGTGAGTGTGTCATCTTAATGACAGACCCACCTGCCCCAGCTGAGCCATCAGATGACTGCAGCCCTGGCTGATATCCTGACTATAACCTCATGCGAGACCCTGAGCCAGAATTCCCAGCTTAGCTGCTCCTGAATTCCTGACCCATGAAACTGAGAGGATGTTTTGTTTTCAGCTGTTAAGTTCTGGGATACTTTGTGGTGCAGCAATAGAGAGCTAAAACAGTTGTGCTTGCCACATCTCAAGGGCTAAATAGCCACATGTGGCAACTGGCTACCATCTTGGACAGAAGAGATGTAGAAGATTTCCACTGATGCAGAAGCTTCTATGGAATAGCACTGCCCTAGGGTGTCAACTCCCAAGGAAAAGCCATCCCCAGTGCCTAGGAGAGGTATGTGGTATGCAGTGGGTTTGCTGTAATTCTTTCTTGTGTAAAACAGTGTTTCCGTGAACACTGGCTAGGAAGTGAGACTCTGCAAGGCTGAATTCAGGCTGGATCTCTGGAGACAGGGTACTGGAAAGAGATCGCTGGCTCAGTGCTCATGGGCACTGAAGGTGCTGGGTGCTTAACACACAAACTCTAGTTAGCACATTTCACTTCAGAGGTAAAGTCACCCATTCAAGGTCACAGAGCTCCTGGATTAGAATCTAGACGTGTGGGGCTCAAAGGTATGGGCTCCTTCTGTTATACTGGCAGCTCAGGAACCCCCACCAGACTCCTGAGGGCCCCTGTACCAACGATGCTTAACACAGCACAGAAAACAATGGGTAAAAAACACCAGAGCTGGCCCAAGCTGGATTCACAAGAAGCAGTAACAAAGGAGAGAAGGAAAAAGAAAGGTCAATTCGTTGGCAGCTCATTTGCTGGATGACCACAACAAATGACGAACTTGTTGAAAACAGCCGAATAAATATCCAAAACCAGCTCTAGGATGGTTAGAGGCAGTCATTTTATCACCCGAGGCAAGTAGATGATAATGACAATGACGGCTTACGCTGGGCACCTGTTATGCGCCGGACACTTGCAAGCACCTCGGCTGTAATAGCTCATTTAGATGTACGAGCAGGTGGAAATAGAGGAGCAAAACTCAATCTCCAAATAATCCCCCTACTTCAGCATACTGGTCATCGGGCAAATTGGTCTGCCTCCATCTCTAACACCTACTGAATCTCTTTCACATTAGCTGGAGGCCGGATTTGGAACTGTCATTCAGCCTAAGAAAGCACGCCCGGTAAAGTGGAACGTCTAGGTTTCTCAGCTGCTTCTGGTTTGTCCACAGCACCAGCAAACTCCAGCTGTTTGCCTGTTTCTCCTGCACTTGTTCCTTTCTTATTAAAAAAAAAAAAAAAGTGCAGCCGGGTGCGGTGGCTCATGCCTGTAATCCCAGCACTTTGGGAGGCTGAGGCAAGCAGATCACAAGGTCAGGAGATCGAGACCATCCTGGCCAACACAGTGAAACCCTGTCTCTACTGAAAATACAAAAAGTAGCTGGTGTGGTGGCATGTGCCTGTAGTCCCAGCTACTTGGGAGGCTGAGGAAGGAGAACTGCTTAGACCTGGGAGGTGGAGGTTGCACTGAGCTGAGATCATGCCACTGCACTCTAGCCTGGGCAACAGAGCAAGAATCCATCTCAAAAAAAAAAAGTGCATTAAACATTCACCCAAAGGACTAACATGATCGTAGTTAATCGGGAAAACTGGGGTTGGAGTTGGCAAATGCCAACTTAATTAGGCAGAGTCCTAAATGGTAAAGGCATAGGTGGAAAGGACAGGGAAGAGTTGTGAGACAGCCTCCAGGGTGGCTGGCACTTAGAACACAAAGCACCAGCTTGTAGGGAAGGAAACTGATGACATTGAAGACTCACTTAGTGGCTCGTTCTGAGATCCTCACTTCCAGCTTGTGGCCGTCCACAATGTGTCCCTAAGAGAGAAGACAACACAGCTCATCTCTGTCCTGAGAAATACTCACCCGAATCCTTGCCCTACACCAGAGCAGAGCCCTGGCTCGCAGATGGGAGACTGACTGTTCCCCAGAGAGCAGGGCTAGCTGGCCTCGAGGACAGAGGATGGCTTTATCCCAAAATGGCTCACACCAAGCCCAGGCAGCAGCTGGTGGTCAGAGACTCAGCCTTTGGATGCTCTCTAAAGCCATAGGTAGGCCTTGACCTTAATGACACTCAAGGGGCATGGAATTTTCCATTGTTTACAAGCATGTTCAGGCAAAGTAAGGCCCTCCGGTCTGGCTTGCAGAGAGAGTTGGGTTTAGTTTGTATGTTCCTGAAAAGTATTCTAAATTACAGCAGAGTTGTATCTAAAGCTAGGCTCTAACACTGGTCCCTCAAGGCGAAACTGCTGTATTAGCAAAATTACCCTTGAAAATCCCTTAAATCTCCCATAAAATACAGCACGCATAGCTTTGTAGGAACAATTCTTGGAGGCAATATTCACATATGCACTCATACAACGATGTCTAGAACATAATACAGTACACATGCAAAGTGAAATTTCACAGCATCTTACATCACATGAAAGAGAAATATGGACCACTGAATTTGCAGAGCTGATTTTAAGTTAAACTAATATACAGCCCCTGATCAGGAAGGGCCTAGGATGTGGGGCATTATGAAGGCAGCAGAGGACACCTTCTCAAGCTGCAAACACCTACTGAATCTCCTTCACACCAGCTGAAGGCCATCCTAGACAACATCATGCAGCTCTAAGAAAGTATATCCCATAAAGCAGCCCGTGTGGGGTCACAGAGCTCTGCAATTAGAACTTACAGGTGGTCCAAAATTTGCCCTTTGGGATGGTGCAAATCCCAGGCTGCTTTGCTCTCCACGGCCCCAGCTCCCCTCCCGCTAGAGGGTCCTGATCTGTCCTTGTACTTACGATCTAGCAGGAAGGCCTGTCTCCCTTCTCTGTCTGAATAGGATGCCGAGTCTCTGCCAAACAGCTTTTGGTTCAGCCTTGTTTTCCCCACCTTCTTCCACCCTGGCCAAGCCTGGATAACTCAAGGTTCTCCTACCCACCCCACTCATTGTCCCCTCTCCATGCCAGCAGCTGGAGAGGCTAGTGGAGAAGCCAGTGTGCCCACAGCCCTCTAATGGTCTCCCACTGCCTTTAGGCTGAGCAGTAAAATAGCCTAGAGGAGCCTGCCCTGCACACCTCTCTCCTCATCCTGCACCCTGAACTGCCACCTATGCCACCCCTGCCACAGTGGCCTCTTTGCTTTTCAAACGTACTAAGTTCATTCCCGCCTTACAGTCCCTCTGCACAGTGTTCCCTCCTCCCCAACTACTTCCCTCCTAGATCGTGGCGCAGCTGACTTCTGGCCAAGTAGGCGTGGATTCAACTGTCACCTCCTTAGAGGTGACCACACAACCCACATACCCTACGTCCACCCCCAACTCACAGCTTTTCTTCATGACCTGGTTCTGCATGTTTATTCAGGGGGCCATGGCCTGTCTACCCCAGCAGAAAGAGGGGCCCACGTGAGCAACCTCTCCCAGGCCTAGCACCATGCCTGGCACATGCCGGCCCTTGACAACAGTGCTACGGATGGAGTGAATGAACTATAGTGACCATGGAGTGTTGGGAAAGGTTCTTCATTTTTTTTTTCTTGGGCTACAGTCCCCCAGACACCTGGCAAAAGCAACGAGCCTAGTCAAGTGTAGACTTCACACACATTCCCACTCAATTTCAGAGGGCTGACGGGACCTCTCACTACCTGCCAAGCGCATCCGTGGCCCTCAGCTGAGAATCCTCACTTTACCTGGAGCTGCTTGAGAGCTTTCTGGGCTTGCTCTGGCTTCCTGTATTCCACAAATCCAAATCCCATGGAAAGCAGTGCTCCTAAGAGAGAGAGAGGTGGAAATCACACCAGTGGGTGGGGAAAGTGGAAGCACAAGGCCAAGTGCAAGGGCTGTGATGGCCCCAGACCTGTGCTGTATTTTCTCTTTTCTTTTCATACCTCTCTTCATTCCCCCAAAATTTTAGCCCCTGGCTTGCTGTTTATTACTAGTCATCTTGACGAATTAGCCAGTGAGGTTATATGGCAGCCACCTGAGGCCCATTTGACTTAATTAACAGATGACTGGCATAATAATTAACTTCATAATAGAATTCTGCTTTGGGAGGAAGATTGAACTAAGAGACATGACCATCGTGAAGGCAAGTGGCAAAGCCTCTACCTGGGCAGTCCTCTGCTGCCACACAGAAGGCCTGAAATGAACATGTGCAGAGTCAAATGCACCAAAGGTTTGCTCTTCACAAATATTTCTCACCAGCCAGTTACATTCAGTTCCTGGGTTTCAGATATAAAATCTGGATCATGTGGGTGACCGCATTATTCAAACTTCTCTGGTTCCTTACTTCTAGGTTGCAAGTAGCAAGAGTTCAGATAGCAAGAATACTGCAACAATTTCATCAGAAACTTCTGCTTCCTGACTACGCATAACGGCGGGGGGTGGGGAGGAGTGTTTTTATTGGGCACTAAAAAGCATACGATTCCTAATAAATTCTTGCCCTCTTGACATAAGATTTGATATCTCCTACCTTTCACCCCCAACCCAGCATCTCATACATATTTGTCAGGTTTATTCTTTATTGTTTTTTCACAGTTGAATTCAAAGAAGATTGACTTCACTCTGATGGATCCAGATGAGGCTTGAGGCTGTCTCCCTCTGCCTCACTTTGCAGTTCCTAGCTTTACCTGTACTGTGCTGTTTATGAGACCCATGCTCCTGCCTTTCGATTGACAGCAGATGCTATAAAATCGGAGCCAAGTGCACTAAGGAATTTCACTAATTCCCCATACATGGCTCAGACAGAACTGACAGTCAGTGCCACCCCACGGTGACTTTAAATGTTTGTTCTTCACGCAGATACTGCTCGAAAGCTCTCTTTTGAAGGCTTGAGGCTGTAGGTGGTGGGCTGGCGTGTCTGTGCACCTATGGGATTTTAAAAGCCCAGTGACTGTGTGAAAGGCAATCGTGAGAAGGTCAAGTTCATCTCTGAGTTACTGACACTATGCAGATCCATCTCTGCCACCATCCTCTGTGGGAAGCTGACCCCTATAGACAGTTTTACCTGGGCTCCCCAGATTCTTGGCTTCCCGTTGGGATGAGCCAGCAGGAGGCTATGATCTGGGATTGCAGGGAGGCAGGTCGCGGCGTGGAGAGAGACTGGAGTACTGGATCCCTCCACATATCCCCACCCGCCTCCTTGCTTTGGGTGGCTTTGCAGTGGCCATGTCCAATCCACGGCCACTACTCCCGCAGGTTATCTTGTGGCTCCAACTCTCAGCTAAGCTCTGGTCACACACTTTCCTCTAATGTCCCTCTAGGGTCAGCAGGGGGAAAGGCATTCTTCCTGTAGAACCCACTCCCTGGATATCCCCGTGGGCTCCCTCAGTCCAGCCACACCTCAGCTCCTTCCTTACGGACATCTCTGCTCCAACCCCAGCTCGGATACTGTTTCCTGCTGCAATGCTGACTGATATACTTTGTCTAGATTTTCCCCAAGCTCTCAAATACAGGCCCTTGAAAATGAGAGTGTATGCTTTAAGAGCTGCTTCTGACATGGAAAGATCAGATAACCACTTCTAAAACATGCTGAAGAGTGCTCCCCAGGAGTAGAAGGCCGGTCGCACAGAGCATTTGACTGGGTGCAGTGAGAGGCAGAGACAGCCACCTTCACCTGCTAGCCTGGGAGTATCTCCATCTAGTCTGACCCCCATCCTGGACTTCAGCAACAACTTTTTTTTCCCTGAAATCCCCACAACTGGTCCTTCTCATCATTAACTTGGTACTTAGCTGCCTCTTCTTGCATCCCAAACTATATCTCAAGTCCCCGGAGAACAGGGGTAGTAAAGGATGAACTGTCTCTTCCTAGACTCACATGTAGAAATCCTGACCCCAGGATCTCAGATGTGACCTTATCTGAGACAGGCTCTCTACAGAGGTAACCAAGTGAAGATGAGATCATAGGTCAGGCACAGTGGCTCACGCCTGCAATCCTAGCACTTCGGGAGGCCAACACAGGCAGATCACTTGAGGTCAGGAGTTTACGACCAGACTGGCCAACATGGTGAAACCCCAACTCTACCACAAATACAAAAATTAGCCAGGCATGGTGGTGGATGCCTATAATCCCACCTACTTGGGAGGCTGAGGCATGAGAATCATTTGAACTTGGGAGATAGAGGTTGCAGTGAGCCGAGATCACACCACTGCACTCCAGCCTGGGTGACAGAGTGAGACTGTCTCGAAAAATAAAAATAAATAAAATGCAGTCATTAGGGTGGGCCCTAAATCCAATACGATTGGATGACTGCTGTCCTTTTAAAAAAGGTGTGAGTGGATTTGATCACAGGATGGGCATACACAAGGAGGATGCCCTGTGAACATGGAGGCAGCCATCTATAAGCCCAGGAGACAGGCCTGGGACAGATCTTCCCTCACAGCCCCCAGAAGGAACCAACTGTACTTGCACCTTGATCTCAGACTTCTAGACTCTGCGAGACAACACATTTCTGTCATTTAAGCCACCCAGTCTGTGGCACTTTCTTATGGTGGCCCAGCAAACAAATATGATGGATGCTCTGACTTCTGTGCCATGTCTGCTTAGACCCCTCCATGGCTCCCGGCGCTTCTGGAGAAAAGTCAAAACTCTTTTGCGTGTGGCATAAAAGCCACTTCATGGTTTGGATCTCATCTACCTTTCCAGGTGTATCTCCTGCCTCTTCCTCAACAAATTCCCCAGGCTCAACCACTGCAGTGTGAGTGGCCTCTGCATGCCTTATTCCTGCCACCCGGCTGCTCTGCCCCAACCCGCCCGGCCTCAGGCTGCCGTCCCCTGTGCTGGACTCCTGTCCCAGCCCCCCAGTCCCTTGCTGTGCTGTGCTGTAACCACCAGCATATTTGTCTTTCCAGCTAGACTGTGTACGTGCTTCAGGCAGGGCTGTGTCTCCCTCAGATTCATATAACACCGTGCCCACTGCCTGGCAGGGCCTGGGAACTGTTTGAGGAATAAGGCAATAGCAGACATCCTGGCCACCCAGTTCTTTGCATGCAGCAGGTGCTCACGACACAGTTTTGGGCTGACACATGTGGCATTCCTACAAATCCTGCCAAACCAAAGGGACCCAGGATAGGGCTGGTATGGCCGTGAGAAGGCAAGGACGTATCCCCTGCAGGAAGCCAGGGCTGGAGAACAGCCCAGCAGAGGCCAGGAGACTCAGGACAGCACCCAGGGCCAAAAGGAGAGATAAGGGTGCTCCCTGCCTGCCCACATACCCCTGGCCTGGGTGATGCATGGTTAAACACTCAGGAAAATCTGTAAGGTTAATGACTTGGTAGAATGTTCCAAAAGTTCTAGAACTGGGTTATCTCCCTCAGAAGGGAAGAGGGAAATCACAAGACTGGTTATTTCTTGCTATTTCCTAGGAAACTTCCAGAACACAGAAGTGCTGGGAGGAGGCAGAGGCTCCTGATACCAAAGTCCTCCCCATCTGCCCACAAATGGCACTGCTCTGAAACCACCCCTGATAGTTTGAGGTGGTGGAGGCTCTAGTTTCAGAAGGACCTGACCTGAGAGGCTGCTTCGACTGGAAAGCAGGAGACTCCAGGGAAAAGAAAGAGGGGCTACTTTCAAAGAGTCTAACATTGACCTGGCTTCAGAAAACAGAGAACCTTCAAAATACGCAAGGGAGAACTTCCCCAGTCCCTTGTCCGAAGCTGGAGCTTCTTTGGGAATCCACTCGTTCCGGCTGAGATTTCATGTGGAATACCTGCTTTGTTCTTCTTCTTGGAGATTGAGCAGCTCTTCACTGTCCCCACTTTGGAAAACACCTGGAAAAGAAAGTAACAATCATCAGCATCTCCAGGCCGGTCCTGCGGTGCGTGCAGGCAGATCTTGAAGGATAGAGACCACGTACCCATGCAAAGCAAGAATGAAAGTAGAAGGGACATCTGGCCAGTGCTCACGGCCAGCCCCTGTCCTGAGTCCTTCACACGCACTAATTCATTCAGCGACCCTGGAGTAGCAATCATTGCTCCCCACTTTTCAGATCTAAAAAGTGAAGCTCAGAGTGGTTAAAGATGGCAGCGGGGTCGCAGAGCTGGGAAGTGCTAGAGGTGGTTAGGACCCAGGGATTGGGGCCCCAGAACCCAGGCTCTAAACCATGAGGCAGGAAAGGGCCCCTGTGAAACACTACTCCCCCAAATTTGCCATATGGACAATGTGGGGTCCCAAAAACACTTTGAAGTGACGAGTGATGCCCTGCTTTAAGTAACCTGGACAGTCCCTTAGGGTTCCCCATAAGAGCAGCTGGGCTTGTTTCTTGTTCCAGTTTTAGAAGAAGGAAGTAGGACACAGAACAGTGAGGGACTGACTGCAGATCATGAGATTGGGAAGCGGGTGTAAGTTCGGAAGCATGGGCTCTACTGACCCCAGTGTGGACCTTTCTCACTGCCCCCTGCACCAGATACCAAAATGATTTTTACAAAACTTTTAAGTCATAGTGTATTCTATTTTTCTCTTTATGTTTTCTGTCCCCTTTGCTTAGAATTTGAAATCCAGTCAGGGAAAAAAAATCCATGTTTACCTGGTTCCTGGCTATGTGTTCAGCACCACACACACACAGGACCCAGGGAAAGGCAGGCACCCAAGAAACGTTCACCACGTGAGCCTTGGGGAAGCAGAGGATCTTGGGAAAGGCAGGCACCCAAGAAATGTTCACCACGTGAGCACTGGGGAAGCCGAGGGGCAGCAGAGGATCTTGGGAAACAAACACCATGAGCAGCAGCTGCTTGCTGCCTCTTGTGTTTAACGTGTCAGATGCTTTTACTTGGAATATCTCCTTTATCTTAATCAAATCATCAAAAGTGCCATGAGAAGGGTCTATTAACATCCCCATGTTACAGATGAAGAAAACGAGGCACAGAAAGGCTGAAGGACTCACTCAGGGTCACATTAGCAAGGAGCAAAGCTGGGATCCAAGCCCAGGTAGGAGGATGGCTAACCATGGCTCTCCACTCAGGGCACTGAGACAGGAGCCCTTGGAGCTAGGGGCCCTTCCACCAGGGCCTCAAGTGGGCTGTGTGACCTAAGGACAGTGAACCGGCCTCTCTGAAGCTCAGTCTCCAACCATGTTACATGAAAAGATTGAACTAGGTCATCTTGGCTGTGACTTGCAGCTCCAGAATTCTTGAATTCGGAGGCTGCTCTTGGGCTGATGGCTGAGTGCCTCTCCCAGGAAACAAGGATTCTGGACATGATGTTTCCATACCAGACCGACACCAGAAAGAAAAAGAAAACCAATGTTCCAATCTATCTGACATGTTCAAATCTATCTACCTTCTGGATGCCACTAGCACATGCTGCTGTTTAAAAGCAAAGCAAAGCAAAAATGGAACTGGGAAGTAGCCGAAGACAAGTCTACCTGGGAGTTTCCAACGGCTTAATAAGGTGAATCTTGGCCCCTAAACGTTGCTGCTTTAGCCAGGGTATCTCTGCTGCAGGGCTTTTCTTCTAACCAGCAAGGGGATAGTCACATCACAGAGGCCGAGCCAGATGGTGTCAGGGGGTTCTGAGCCTCCGCCTCTCTCCAATACCACAATGTTGGCCTCCTTATCATCGGCCCACAATGTTCCCACCCCTGAGGCTCAATGGATACTGACTTCTCTCTTGACCCCATCATAGAATTTTAGGGTTCAGAGGGAGTTTTAGAAATTGATCAGGTCAATTCTTATGGACAGCTTCCTTCCCAGAACAAGTTGTGATGGCTATCAGCCTGCTGTTATTCATTAAAACAAAACAAAAACTAAAAACCCATTGAGTGTTTATTCTGTGCCAAGCTCAGTTTAAAAATAAAGGGTCTGCTGAGGGAGGCGCAGCACAGCAGGGGAGCCTGTAGCGCCCACTCCTTTGGAACTGGAGGCCCATTTCCCGATGGCTGGTCCAATTCCCTGACTCAGCGCAGCCCTCATTTGGCTTTTACCAACTTTCTATTTGGAGTTCCCTTTCCTTTCATGCCTTGTCCTCTTCCCATAAATGCAAAAATCTCACCCTATCCCGGAATTCCACGTCAGGCCCAGACCCTCACTCACTGATGTGGCTTCTCCATTATTCCCCGCGGGCCGAGATCGTGCTGACATTTACTTTTGGGTACTTTATATCAGTGAAACAATTTTGGGGGGTTTTCTAAATATATAATCCAAACACTGACTATTGCCTTTATATCCCCCAGTCTCCCTAGAGACTCCATGCATGCTTCCAAAGCATATGTGGTAGCTCCTCTCAGGCCCCCTGGCCGCCTTGCTGCTACTCCAGTCTTCAGTTGAGCCATCTACTGGACACCCCAGGAGACAGGGTCAAGTCGGTGGTGCTGATGGTTGCCAAAGTGCATCTAAACACGCTTCATGTTTAAAGGCGGAATAAACGCAGTGGCCACATTAGTAGACTGGGGTTTCCCATCCCATGCCTCTCCCTCCTGGGCTAGAACCCACTCACTTCCTTCAGCTTCTCCTCTGTTGTGTCAAAATTGAGATTCTTAATAAACAGAGTACACCCTGGGAGGCTCTCCTCTTCTTCTTCCTCTTCCTCCTCCTCCTCTTCCATCTTTGCTGAACAATTGTCCGCTCCTTCCTCCGTTGGATTTTCATCTTCTGGGGTTTCACCATTGGACGCTAGAACCCCCATCAAAACAAAAACATCAAATCAGTGAAATAATGTGTAGCCCAGCAAAGCCCCAGGGCCAACTGCAAGGAGCCTACAAGGTAAAGGGGCTCTGCCTCTGCAGTGTCAGGAAGGGGCACTGTGATCGCCAACTTGTGCTGCATTTCAGCAACTCCTGAGACAGACACAAGGTCCTGCCCCCTGCTGCTGTTGTAAAGAGAAAGGAATAGGAAACACAGCACCTAAACGGGGCCTTAAACAGGACCAACTCGCACTCATTTGAACTTCAAAATAAATTACCACGTGAACTGTTTTGCTGAACCATGAGCCTAAGCAAAATGTTATGTTTCCTCAAAAAAACCCATAGCATTTAGTGAACGTTCAGACTGAAATGCAACTTAAAACTGTTCGAAAATTACAGAATGGGGCTAAACTTAGGAAGAGTCTAAATACCCCTGAAACTAAAGAATGTTACATGCAATCGAAATCCCCTCCTGTGCATTACTTCAGGATGCAGATACACTAAAGGTGTGGTTTTGTCTAAACATATTAAATGCAGAGTTATGCAGCACAGGGAAAAACTGAAAATACTCTGTGTTCACAAATAAGAGACCAGGTAAGGCAGAGTACCACCAAAGGCTGGAATAATATGTAGTCATGAAAAATGATGTTTCCGAAGAATGTTGAATGACATACAACAAAGCTCATCATATAAAAATTAGAGAAAAATTAAGATATTAAAAATAAGTGTACCTTAATTTTAGAGAATGTTCAACATAATTCAAATCATGATCTAAGCTAGGTGTGGTGGCTCACACCCGTAATCCAGCACTTTGGGAGGCTGAGGTGGGTGGATTACTTGAGATCAGAAGTTCAAGGCTAGCCTGGCCAATATGGTGAAACCCTGTCTCTACTAAAAATATAAAAACTAGCCAGGCATGGCAGTGGGCACTTATAATCCCAGTTACTTGGGAGGCTGAGGCACGAGAATTACTTGAACCTGGGAGGCAGAGGTTACAGTGAACTGAGATCATGCCACTGCACTCCATCTCAAATCAAACAACAACAAAAGACTTGTATAGTATTCATGAGAAAACAGTACAAGTATGGACACACACCCACCCACACACCCATACGCCCCCACATGAAGGAGATGCATAAAGTGCTCCTGGTTTATTTCTGGAGAATGGCATTAAGGATGGTTGTCATTTCAACCTGTCACTGCTAGCACTTTGTACTGCTCCTGCTCTGAAGTAACAGCATTTTAGGGAGAGGGAAGAGCAAATGCGATGTGAAGTTGTGAGTCAGCAAGGGGTGTGTGTGTGGGGGTGGGTGGGTGTGTGCACGCGCGCGCGTGTGTGTGTGTGTGTGTGTGTGTGTGTGGCTGCAGCTCAGGGAGTTGGAAGCAGGGAGACTAGACCTGCTAGCCTGCAGTGGCACTAAGCATGTGGATTTCATTCTCAGCTGATGGAAGCCTCAGGAAGTCGGAACAGGGCAGTGTCATGATCTTTTGTGAAATCCGAGGAGGAAATATGTTCAATTTGTTTCAAGCTCCCCAATTTCCCCAAGTCACATGATCAGGATCTGGAGACAAATTCCTCCTCCAAGGACAAGGCTTCTGAAGCTATTCTCACATCCTCCAGGAAGCCAGACTGTCTTAGCAATTCTTCAAAGCAGTTCTCAGGCTGTGCCTTCACACCCCTCACCTTCAATGTTTCCAAGCAGATGACCAGTGACTTCCCTGAAGATTTAAACCCTGCACCCCAGCCTGGCTGAAGCACCCGGAGGTCCCACGGGCGGGCAGGCTGGAACTGATGGAGACAGCCCATTTCTACTCACACCTTCACTTGGATAGTTCAAACTTCTGCATGGCTAAGGGGGCTTCTTGGGGTACAGCTCCATCCCACACACTTACCACCAAGCACCAAAGATGCCTCTGTCTGTCTTGCCCTTCCTGATGCAAGCCTAATGCTTTCAAGTCTTAATTAAGCTTCAACCACTTTATCATAAAACAACTCTTTCAAGCCTTTACAGAAACAGCTACTATGATAATGCTGTCTCTTTTTTTTTGTCAATCAATGAGAGCATGTAATGTTGCTCAGGTTGGCCTTGAACTCATGGCCTCGCCTCCTCAAGCACCAGGACAACTGGCCGGAGCCACCGTGGCCCCCGATAATGCTGTCTCTTTAACATCAGTTGAACCTGCTGCCTTTGTCCCTAGAGTAAGCCCAGAACCGAGACACAGGCCCCAGGACAAAAGGAAGAAGTCTACACAAAGGCTCCTCCCCCAGTCAAGACGAATACAATTTACCCAGCAAGAGAGACTCTAGGGTGTGGCCCTTTGTACTCAAAACCCAACTTTCAAACAAAGCTGGAGGAAAAAGTAACGCTAATGATGAGAACGAAAGCTATGCAAAGCAGCTAATACTTCAGGTCCGGACCGGAACCTCAATGGAGACGAAAACCACAAGCGTCGGCGGGGAGTAGTATTTCTACCCCGCTGGCCCTCCCTGGCATTTGACATCTTGGAGAATAGAGGAGGAAGGAAAGGGCACTGATGAGATCCCCTACCGAACGACAGGCACGTGGCTGGATGCCCTAAGTCCAGTCTTACTCATGACCACGGCAGCCACATCACAGAAAACGGGGGGTCCAAGGAGGGTCCTGGAGGCTGCCACTTCTCAACCCTAAATCTCAGGGACCTTCAGGTTGGTGAGACAGGTTCATGGAAGACTAGGAAAAAAAATTATAGAGAAAAGCGCAGTGGGGATGATGGTGACCATGAGGGCTCATGGCCACTTTAAAGGACCAGCCCCTTCTTGCCACTGGCCAATTGACAGGGAGGTCATCCTAGCATGGCCAGAATCCAGATCTATTAAGACAAGCAGGAAATCCAGCTTTACAGAGCAAATCCCATGGTTTTTAAATCTTGGCAACTTAATGGCAGGTGGCTTTTGAATTAGGGAGTAGTCAGCAAGTACACGAGCTCATCGAAGCCTCGGTGCTCTGCTCCCTGCATCCGTTCTGCCCCAGACCACCAACAGAGATGCCCTACCCTCTTTCTCCCCCAAGGCCCCAGAACCCAACCAGTGCCTGGCATGGCATTCCAGGAGTTTCAAGTCTCAAAGGGTAACAAGCCGGGGAGCCCAGTACCCCTCAGCGTGGCTGGAGTTGACTCTACCCTGTTAACCTGGTCCATAAGCGGTGGCTGGTGTGCTGCAAAGGACATCTTTAAATGCCCAGGCACCTGCCGAGGGAGGTGTGATGTTTGGGTTTAGTAACAGAGCTGAGACCAGGGAATGGACAGATCCCTTCCCTGGCAGGTCAGCTGCCCTTAGCCCCAAACCAGGAAAAATAACAGGGAACTCTGAGGATGGTGAAGACCTATTGTCTGGGTGTGCAGCTGGCCTAGCAGGGGGCTCACTTGGCATCTCCAACCTCCCATAAGTCAGCCAGCACGTCTTAACCCTCCACATTGGGAGGAACACCCAGCTTGAAATGAAAGACGTGCTCAAAGGGGTCTACCTTTCATCCAATAGCACGGGCTCTGGCTGACGCCGGAGACGTCCGTTCTTTCCCCGAACCTTGCGTGCATAGCAACAACCGCCCTCCACCTCAAACTTCACCCTGGATCCTAGAAGAACTAACAATTGAAGAGCATCACAGTCTTTAGAAATCTGCTGGAAAAGGAAGCCTGGAAAAGACGAGGGAGGGAGGCCCAGTCCCGGCCCTGCCGTACCCCACCCGCGCAGCCGTGGCGGGCGGGTGACTCCACTGCGGTCGTGGCACCTTTACCTATAAAACGAAGCTTACTAAACCACCTCTCCCCTAGTACTAAAAATACACACCCACAAAAACCCGAGTCATGCTCGTTTGCAGGAAAATTGGTAAACAGAAGTGACTAAACTTGATTACCTATTTTTAAAAATATGATAATGTAATAATTATGAACAAGAAAGAAGGCAAAATCCACATTTAACGTTATTTAAATAAATGAATTTCAAATTAATGTGAGAATATTGTATAGGATGTATTGTATAGGTTTCAAAACCCAGTAAAGCACAGGTGTATACAGACTGCTGGCAAAGATAATGACCCTTCCTCCTCTCTCCCCAAAAGTCCCGGAGCCCAGCCAGTACCCAGCATGGCATTCCAGGAGTTCCCAAGTCTTACAAGGGCAACAACCTGGAGCACCCAGCAGCCCTCAGTATGGCCTCCCTGGCCCTCGGGTGGTGACCGGGAAAGAGCTGTTGTCTTTGCCAGCAGTTTGCATACAACACCTGCATTTTGCTGGGCTGTTTGGAAACACAAGTGTCCACTACTTCCTCCATCTGCCAGGCCATGGCTCCATCACCTTTCACCTCACCTGGATGACTGAATAGCCTCCTTGCTGCTGTGCCCTCTGCCCCTGTCCCTGGCTCATTACCTTCCCTGACCTCATTCCTGGCCCTTTTCCCTTCTCTCTTGTCACCTCCATTCCAAATGCACTGGCCTCTTTTCTGATGGTCAAGCCTTCCAAGCCCCTCCCTACCACAGGGCCTTTGCACCTGCCAGCCTCTGCCCGACCTGCTGGTCTGTTGCTTTCCCAGGTCTGGCTCCCTCTGCCCGGCCTCCCCGCAGGGAGCTCATCCTGTTCACTCTAGTTCAAGCAGGCTCCAGCAGGGGCCAGCCACTCAATGTTCGTTCTCCTGCTTTCCTCTTTTCAGAGCCCTTTCCTGTTCTGGTATCACCGTACTGAGCGGTTTGTTCCTCTATCTGTGTTCCCCAGATCCACAGGGAACTCGGGGACAGGATTCAGGCTGACTGTGTTGGCACTGCATCTCCAGCACTGAGCTCAGAACAGATCTACTTGTGGGCAATGAATACACTGGGCACTCAGCATGCGCCTGAAACACAGTGATCATGAGATAGAGAGGAGCCTTGGAGGTGAAGGCTTCGGGTCATATCCCGGCTCTCTCCACATGTGTGACCTTGTGTAAGGCAAGCAAGCAAAATCTCTGTGCTTTCTTCTTTCCATCTAAAAAGGAGCTGGCTACCGTGGTGCCTACTTGCAGGCCGATGACAAGAATGAATGCAGAGCGGCCTGTGAGACCTGAGCCTGGACCTGCAGTGAGCGCTGGGAAGTAAGTTTCCTTCTTCTTAATATCGCCTGTGCTACCCACACTGCCCAGCAGGCCTTGATGAGAGAGAAATCCAGGGGACAAGGGTGGAGAGATGAGACAGCCCAGTGCAGGGAGCCCCCAGCCCTACTTCCCCTTCTCCCTGCAGGGTGAGCTGCTGGCTGCAGGCTCCCAGGAAGGCCAGCCAGTGCCAGGCCTCCAAGTCCACAGCCTGGCGCCCCTGCCAGCCAGCTTCTGCTCCCCGAGTCATGAGGCCAGGCTGTGTCCAGAGAGGCGTGGAGACTCCAGGAGCCAAGGCCATGAAGCCAAAGGTCATTTTCAAAAGCACTTCTGCCGCTGGCCCCAAGTGGGGAGACAAAAGACAGACGGGAAAGAAAGAAGTAAGGCATTGTGAAACTCCAACAGATGTCTGCCAATACATCACCAGGAACCAGAAAAAGAGGGAAGAAGTGAGAAAGGAATCAGGGCTGGGCCCGGGGGCGGGGGAGTCGGGGCGAAGGCTCTGAAGGCAAGGTGGGCTGGAGGGGGCTGGGAGAGGCAGGGGGAAATGTGCTTCCATCTGTAGTTAGCACAATCAAATCCAGTCACGCATCGCCACATGGGGCTTTATTATAATCAGGCCGCAGAATTTACTGCGGCCTCCTCCCCTTTCCCGGCTCTCGGCGCTGGAGCTGACAGCGAAGACTGTTATCAGTTGCAAGCAGCTTTTCAGGACCTCCCCCCACTCTGAACCCTTTATCTGGAGGTGAGGGTCTTGGTTGTGGGGAGATAAAACACGCTGTCCCCCTCCCTCGAGACTGGTACAGAGAACAGCAGTGCTTTACAGAAAGGAAGGGGGTAAAATTAATAAAAGAAAAGCTACGTCCACTCCCCTCCTGCTCTTCTTCCTTGGGAGCCTGAGAAAATCCAGGGCTTCGTGGGCTGGCTGAGCAACCCCCAGCCCTCGCTGTCCTCATATAACAGGGGAGTCAGGGATCTGGCGAAGCTTCGGGAATAATGCAGAGGGTGGGGGTGGGGGAGGAGCAGGTGAAAAGAAAAGCCGGGGCCAGGAGGGGCTGCGCAAGTGCTGCGTGTAGTGAGAGGGCAGGAGGCGGCCCTGGAGATCAGCTCTGTGGGAATTCACCGATGACGCGGGATGCAGCAGGGCTTAGAATTAGCACAGACACGCACAACTTCCCGGGCCAAGGGCGACTGGGCTCTAAGGCCTCCTTGTGTGTCACGGTCAGGCCCTGGAAAGCAGCGCCTCTGGGAGGTAGGGGCCGTTGGGGACACGCTCAACCCCACAGCATAGACCCAGGAAGCTGGGAGACCTGCGGGCAGGGGATGGGAAAACACTCTGACCGTAGACCACAGCATGCTACCTCTGTGACGTGCCCTGTGCTGTGTGGCAGACATTTCTGTGCCCAGGGCCCATTTCTATTACTACTTGTGACACCTCACCTGTCCCCAACAGCTCTACTGTCCTCCACAGCTCAGGAGCTCCAGGGAAAGGGAGTCTGTGCATCTGTGCGGTATCCATCTTCATCACCCAGATCAGCTGCTGGCCAGAGCTGGTGCCCATGGTGAGTTAATGTGCCCGGGACATATTTTTCTAAATTTTAATTTATTTTTGAGACACGGCCTCGCTCTGTCACCCAGGCTGGAGTGTAGTGGTGCAATCTTGGCTCACTGCAGCCTCGATCTCCTGGGCTCAAGGGATCCTCCCACCTCAGCCTCCTGAGTAGCTATGACTACAAGGTGTGTAGCACTATGCCCAGCTAAGTTTTGTACTTTTTGTAGAAATGGGGTTTTGCCATATCATCCAGGCTAGTCTTGAACTTTTGGACTTAAGCGATCCTCCTGCCTTGGCCTCCCAAAGTGCACTGTGACTTATATTGCTCAGTCACCAACAGCAGCAGTAGAACTGGTGATGTGCATGCGACATCCCACTACACCCTCAGGGGACTGGGTTAATATCACACCCATTTTACAGACATGGAAACTGAGCCTGGGAGAGGCAGGTGGCTTGCCCAGTCACAGAGGGAGGTGAGAACTAGAGTGGCTGCTTACTAGAAATCTCAGGGCCATTTCTCCAGGGGCTCTAGGCCTCACATGATGAGGATGCCAAGGGCTTAGAACCATGCCTGGCACAATCTAACTGCTGCTTCTGCCCTTGGTTTGGCTCACACACACTTCCCGATCACTACTAGCTGCTGGGGCACGTTCCTGGGTGCAGGCAGACTGCCGTGAGTGAGGTGAATGGGCTCTCGGGGTGTGGAGTGGTGATTCCAGGGGCAGCCAGAGAGAGCAACACCAGGGAAAGGAACCGATTCATGACACAATTCCAGGAAGTGATGAGCATTTGAACTAAAACAAAGGGCTATTTATGGGACAGGGACAAATGAGAGCCGCCACTATGATTCTGATTGATGGTACCACTGTCACCACTGCGTTCTGAGGCTGAGCTAACCACCAAAACCAAATGCTTAACCCTAACTAAGCTTCTACTATATGCCAGAGGCTCGGGACACAAAGACAAGTACGACCTGGCCCCATCTTTCCAAGGGACAAAGAGGCCGATTCTCGTGCGCTTCCTCACTCCCTTGAAGCCTGTGGACCGAGCTTCCCTATGCCTGGGCCTCCCGGGGTGCTAGGTACCCGGCAGTGAAGGAGACAGCCCACTCCCTGCCTTCACAGCTCAAAGTCTGGCTGAGCTAGACAGCGAACAAATACAAGTAACGAATACACAGAATACATAGAAATTGTGAAGTGTTAATGGAAAAAGAAGACAGCAGAGAGGGAGAATCCCCAGGACACAAGGAAATGAAGAGCCTGGTGGAAACGGTCACCTTGGGAAACACCACGTGTCCCCAGCCTGCCTCCTGCTGCCACCCAAGGAGGCAGGAAGAGGCCTCCGCCGGATTTGTTTTCAGAGCTGCTCAGTCCTGGCTGATCTCTAAGTTTCAAAGGAGGACATGCTTCGGGCCAAAAATCGTTACTTAGGTTCAAGGGTAGTAACTGAAAGAAAAACCAAGGCAGTTGTGATTTGGGGGAGACAGTTAACCTTTCTCAAGGGTTACACCAATCATCCTGTCATTAAGCATGACAGGGGATGCTTCTGGGTCCTCAAATCCCAAAGGGACTGAAGAGTTTTGCTTCCTGATTGAAACAGGCCTCCAGACCGGCACTTCCTGAACGCCTGGTGCTGGCGGGGCCAGTCCTGAACATCCACAATGAAACAAGGAAATGAGAAATCTGGACAAGGCAGGGGGTTAGGTACAGCAAAGTCTACTTCATTAGAATCTCAGCCTGGGGGCAGTGGCTCATGCCTGTAATCCCAGCACTTTGGGAGGCTGAGGTGGGCAGATCACTTGAGGCCAGGAATTCGAGACCAGCCTGGCCAATATGGTGAAACCCTGTCGCTACTGATAATACTAAAAAAAATTAGCCAGGTGTGGTGGTAGGTGCCTGTAATCCCAGTTATTCAGGAAGCTAAGGCAGGAGAATCATTTGAACCCGGGGGACGGAGGTTGCAGTGAGCCTAGATCATGCATTCTAGCCTGGGCAACAGAGACTGTCTCAACGTTGCTCCCCAGCTATTTTTTTTTTTAACTGTAAAAGTTCTTTAAAAACATACATTTATGAGAACAAAGGAGAGAGAGTGGCTGAGGACTTACTACCTGTTTTTTTTTTTTTAGCCTTCTTATTTTAATAAACAGCTGGTTGCTGTGTTGTGGGTGTGTATGGGTTATAACTTACAAGGAAAATCTCGACGTCTGAATAGAATGACTTCCATGATCCTGTTCAAAACGAGTCTAAAGGTCTTGGCTTCTAAGATGTGGTCCTGGCCCTCAGACTATGAGGTCATCGATGGGGGGTGACTACACCACCCACTGTGGCCATGTAGGAATGCGTGGGGGTGTTCCAGGTTGTCCTAAGGACTGGGGGTACCCATGTCACTCAGAGGCACAGGTCAGGAGTGTGAAATGCCTTGTGATTTGCAAAGCAGTCCTGATAAGAAAGTATTGCACAGTCCCAAAGGCCAATGATACCCATTTCCCCAGCTAGGAAGCATTAGCTAAGGGGTGGGGGCTGCCTTCTCTGGCCCCCCGGGGCCACAGCTTCCCCTTCCTTTTCTGCCTCTGCAGTCACAAACATCAGAAGGTACTGCCACTCCAAAGGCATGAGAATAGGTGTCTCCCATACCAGCCACCCTCCGCCATGAGCCAATCTGGTCCATCTTTATTTGAGAGTCTGAGCCCCACTGGTCTCCAGCATGAACAAAGAACTTTAAACCAGAGGCTCGATGAGAAACTTCCCGCTGCCCCTCACCCTCCTCCTTTCCCTTGCCCGTTATCCCATGGCATCCTGGTCTCAGACTCAGCTCTTACCGGTTTCTGGCTCTGCTTGGTCCTTTTCTGTGGGTTCCGGAGGTGCGTCTTGGGGCTTTTTCTTCTGTGGGGCTGCGCTGGAGAAGACGCCGACTGGAGCCCACTCCAGATACAGAGGGACGTGGTGGAACTGCAGAGACAAGAGTGATGGCCCCGTGGGTCCTCATTACAACACACTGCTAGGGAGGGACTCAGTCCCATGCAGATCATAGCCCAAGGGTCACAGGGGATGGGCAACTCACCCAAGAATGGAGCCAGAAGGAGCCCAGCCCCAAGCCCTACTGCTGTCTACTCCCTGAGGACAATACTCAGCCGCCATGCTGCATCTCAGGGTGCAGGAGAGAAGCTTGTCTCTGTTGCCACCAGACGTATGGCAGTTCCAAGGCCACTTTTGTGTTTTTCCCAATCAAAGTAGGAAACAGGGAGTGGGGTGAGGAGAGACCATATCATTGGTAAAGTGTAGCTCTCCAGGAGGAAGTGTAAAATGCCCATTAAGAGGACATACTTTCTATGTGCGTATATCTACGGGCAATGTACATATACGTGTGTGCGAGCGTGTGTGTGCATGCAGATGGTATTTTTTTAAAAGGCTAGCTGGGAATGGTGGTGACACACACCTGAAGCCCTAGCTGCTTGGGAGCTGAGGTGGGAGGATCCCTTGAGCCCAGGAGTTTAAGGCTCCCGTGAGCTAGGAGTCTGCCACTGCACTCCAGGGAAACACTTTTATTCATGTGTCCTCTTAAAGAAAAGTGGGGTGGGAGGGTGATTAACAAGACACTGACAACTGCCTCATTAGACGGCCACTAGGGGGCTGCAGGACAGGGCTGAGAGCGAGACTTGTCAATAAATGCCCTTTTTGAATCTTTTCGAATTTCATACTACGTGAAAGCCTTGCAAATTAGTTATGTTCCAGGAAAAAAAAAAATACATGCTTGGGAGGGAAACAGACTGGAGTGACAACAGTGTGCTGCATTACTCCTTAGCTGTGAGACCTTGGGTCAGGGCGCCTCTCTGGGCATCAGTTTCCATAGGTGCAAAATGAAGACGGCAGTCTTGTTGTTGGTGAAATAGACACTGCCCCAAACAGGAGGCCTCACTGAGCCAGTGCTCTCGAACTGTGGCTCACAGAGAGCCTTTGGTGATGGGCACGTCCAAGGAAAAAAGGATGGTGTCACATTCCCAAGGACGCCCACAGCTCATTCATGGGGCCCCACCTAGATAACTTTTCTTATGGGTCAGGCACAGACTGACTTCCTGAGAGCTCAGTGGCCAGAGGCCCAAGCTAAGGACTAGTACGGGGTTGGAGTGACAGAGAATGAGAAAGCATTTCCTCACCAGCAAAATGGGAGACCAAGGTCTGTGAAGTGCTAAGGTGCCTTAGTGGCCCTGTGGAGGTATGTCTACATCTGAATCCCTAGAACCCCTGGTGAATGCGACCTTATTTGAAAAAGGATCTTTGCAAATTTCATGAAGTGAAAGATTTTGAGATGAGATCATCTTGCATTATCCAGGCACGCCCTAAATCCAATGACAGGTGTCCTTAAAAGAGAACTTCAAAGGAAAAGTGAGAGGAGAAGAGGGAAAGCCACACGAGGATGAAGGGAGAAGCTGGAGTGACGCAGCCATTGCGTCAAGGGATGCCTGGAGCCACTAGCAGCTGGAAGAGACACAGATCAGACCCAGAGGAAGCACAGCCCTGGTGACACCTTGATTTCACACTGTGGCCTCCAGAAGTGTGGGACGATACATTTCTGTTGTTCCAAGCCAACTAGCTTGTGAAAATTTGTTATAACAGCCACAACCAGCAAACTAATAATCGACTGTTTTTTTTCAAAACCAAGAACCAGCCCCACCTACAGAACTGACTTTCATTCATCTCACTGTAGCTTTAAGACAGTTAAAGCATTCAAGAATGCTCATTCTTGGGCAAGAAAGGGAGACCTTCGTCTCTACAAAAAATCAAAAAATTAGCCTGGCGTGGTGTTACACGCCTGCAGTCTCAGCTACACGGGAGGCTGAAATGGGAGGATTGCTTGAGCCCCAGAGTTTGAGGCTGCAGTGAACCAAGATGGTGCCACTCCACTGTAGTCTGGGTGACAGAGAGAGACCCTGTCTTATAAATAAATAAAATACATTAAAAAAAAAAAGAATTAAAATTAAAATTGTAATTCAAATTAGCACAAGTAAAGAAAGCCAAAGGAAAGCTAGAGTCAGGCAAGGAGCCAAGGCATGCTTTATGGAGGATGGTTTAGAACCTCCCTCTCCCATTCTGCCCACCCAGACAGGTTTCCAGGTGGTCGGGATGACATTCACCCATGATAGAGATGGGTGGTTTAGGGTGAGCTCCCGCGTGCCACATCTGTGAATCCGTAGCCCACTGCACCCTCTCCCTTGAAGCAGCCCTCTCTGGGCCTTCTCCAGATCAACTCCAGGTCTCCAGCAGCCCTACCTTGGAATAGGCCAGATGCCTGAAGGCCTTGCGGGCCTCCAGGGGCTCCAGGAACTCTACAATGGCGGTGATTCCACCCTCTGGAAGCAGCACGCGGCCCAGGCTGCCAAAACGGCCAAAGGTCTCCTGCAGCTCGGCTGCCAGGGTGCCTGCCGGGAGGTTCTTGACCAGAATCACTGTCTTGCTTCGTTCTGCTGCAGCCTGCAGAGAGGAAATGCACACAGGTGGGACCACAGGACGGAGGGTCCTCAGCCGACACCAGCAGTGACCGTGGGGGGCTCCAGACGAGGCTCTCCATTTGGAACCTCAGCAACTAGGCACTTAGGAGGTGGACCCAGGAGGAACCACTCTCTCTGGCATGACGTTTGCTGCAAGGCTGAGAGGTAGCTCTGCAGAGGGGGTAAGGCCTGCGGCTCTGAGGCTGGATCTCCTGGAACAAATCCCCGCCACTCGACTTCTGAGCAGGGCCACACCTTCCAAGGTTTCCAATGGCTGAGGTCTGCATCTACAAGGCTTCTTTCCCTGTAACTACAGGCTGGCCACCTGCTACCACGTGCAGCAAGCAGGACGTGCCCAGAGTTAATGGCTCTGGGAGCAGCCCATGGCTCTCAGGAGTTGCTGCACCCCGTGTCCTTGGGTGGGCTGAGATGGAGGTGTGAGCTCTGCAGGTTTCCCCCTAGGCAGAGCTCCAGGCACCCACAGGGTGGCGTACTACGGCAGCACACTCTGCACCCCGGTCTCCTTCCCTTCCCTGCATCCCATTCTCACCAGGGTTTTCTGCACTGCCCCCTCAACTGTGTGCCCTTGAATCCCTGTCTCAGACTCTACTTCTGGGAGGACCCGAACTAAGAGACTAGCTATTCAGCCTCGGGAAATGCACTTAACTGTGCCTCAGCTCCCACAGCGACAGCAAGGACGTAGCATCTATTTCACAGGATAGCTCCAGGAAAAGGTTTCATTAAATGGGTTAGTAAAAGTACATGTAATATGAGCACTCTGAAAACGCTAGCAATAATTTTGTTAAAAAATAATGTTGGAGGCAGATAAAAGAGCCAAGAAAATATAATGGAAAAGTCTATGCATATGGCCTATCTGGGAATAAGACTTAGCTCAGCTGCTAATTTAACCTGAGGCCTTGGGTCAATTACTTTGTTTCTGTAGGCTTCAGTTTCCTCATCTGCAGAACGGGCTAACAGTGACACTGTCTTATAGAGGCCATACAGGGTTGCTATGAGGACTGCCTGCGGTGAGGGGAGTGAAACCATCTGCAGGTGGGAAAAAGCTGGGCACCAGTGGGCCTCTTAGGTGCAACTCAGGCCTCAATGTTACAGAGACAGACTCTGGGGCCAGAAGGCCTGTGTCCAAATTCAGCTCCACCACGACGAGGTGTGAAGTGACTTCACCCCTCTGTGACTGTGGCTCTTTCTGCAGTGTGGAAGCACAGTCGAGCTGCTTTCACAGGGTTGCCAAGTGAATGAAGTGAGCTAATTAAACATGTCAACTTAGAAGAGTGCTTTAGTAAATCTTAACAAATGTTAGCTATTAGTATATTTATCTATCTATCCATCCACCCACCCGCCATCAATATTCATATACCATCTATCCATCCACCCATCCTCCTCTCATCCTTCCATCCTCCTCATCCATTTTGAGGTAAAAACTTAAGTCCTGGGAAGGCTGTTGAAAGAGCTGTTTTGGGAGTAAAAGCCCCAAGTTTTCGTGCAGGCTCCTCCCACATATAGACTGTTTGACCTTGTAAGTTACCTCCCCGCTCTCTGAGCCTCGGTATCCCGGATTGTAAAATGAAGGAATGAATGTCATGTGGGCTCAAGGTGTGAGAGGCCCTCTAAGCTTCCGTCATCCATAAATCTAAGACCTGCCACTTGGTGGAGAACAGGTCCTCGGAGGTGCTGGACTCTTCTCTGCTAGGTTCAAGAAGGGTCAAAGTCCCCCAACAGACCACAGATGCCCTGGGAAGACACTGGGTATGGCAGTGAGATGTTGGGGGTCCCGATCTGTGTGGAGGAACTGTGGGGTTAGAGGCAGACCTCCTGTACATGGCTCTGGACAGACAGAATCAGGGTCAGACAGACCACTTGTCTGAGCCCATGTAACATTTCTTCCTTTCTTTGGAGACAATTTAGAAATTAGTAATAGTCCTTAGAAGGCCAGATCCTTGAATCCACCTGTGTCTCCCTGGAAAGGCCATTCCTGGCTCTCTAGTGGCCACTGGCTTGTGCCGCCGAGAGCACCTACCTGGCTGAAGGAATCCAGGCTGACCCCGTTGTCTATGAGGAAGCGCCGCACTTCCTGGACAAGCTGAGTCTCCCCCAGAGCCACGCGTACGGCCACGCTGCCCTTGGTCTCCTGTGGGAGAGGAAAGGAAGAGCCCCAGTTGGCTGTCCGGCAGGTGACATGTTGGCCCTCCCCTTTCCCAACAGCCTGAGGCGGCGGCGGCAGCAGGGTTAGAAATGGATCCAAGGATGCCGCTCACCTTCCTACACCGATCAGATGCCCCCAGTGGCTCTGTGTTGTTTTTTTTTTTTTTTTTTAAGACAGAGTCTCACTCTGTCACATATGTCCTCCAGGCTGGAGTGCAATGGTGTGATCACAGATCACTGCAGCCTCTATCTCCCAGACTCAAGCAATCTTCACACTTCAGCCTCCTGAGTAGCTGGGACCACAGGCATGTGCCACCACACTCAGCTCATTTTTATATTTTTTGTAGAGATGGGGTTTCACCATATTGCCCAGGCTGGTCTTGAACTCCTGGGCTTAAGCGATCCACCTGCCTCAGCTTCCCAAAGTGCCAGGATGACAGGTGTGAGCCACTGAGCCTAGCCCCACAATGGCTCTGGCTTCCCAGATCTCTCAGAGTAGATCTGGGACCCCAGGGTTCCCTCTCCTGTGCTCCCCCTCCCCTCATCATATGGGTCTTTGCTGGCACTCCCACGCCGAGTTCATCCCGCCTTGGGGCTCCGGCAGTTGCTGACTTTGGCCTCCACGGTTCTTACCCTACACTAGCTTGCTCTATTCAGTTTCGGCTTAAGCCCTCTCAGTGACAGCCTATCCCTCCCTTGGCTTTTCGGTTCTCTGCCATTACCAGGCCTTCCGCACTGTACCTCTGCTAATGTGTCAGTGTCTGTTCCCTCACCAGAAGGTACCACAAGACCCTCACTGCTCCTGTTTGGGGGGTTGCTATGTTCCCAGAACTCTGAGCACTCATGGGATCTGAAGCGGCTGCAGTCCCCAGCTGGCCTGGGTCTAGAGCTGTGCTGCCCAACACAGTGTCACAAGCCCCTCAGAGCCACTCAGTATTTGAAATGCAACGTGACACATCTAAAGCACTCTCGGTGTAAAACACACATGAAATTCTGTGAGGAAAAAAAGACTAAAATAGCTTGTAACTGTTTTTAAACATGATATAGATGGTGAAATAATATTTTAGACATACCAAGTTAAATGAAATATATTATTAATATTAATTTTGCCTGTTTCATTTAGCCTTTTAAACATGTGGCCACTAGACCATTTCCAGCTACACACGTGCCTCGCATTCCCTAGCAAATAGCACTGACCTTTAGTGCCTGGGGAGAAGGGGTGGGCAGCAATGGGCAAGGAGCTTAGGAGCCAAATCCATTGATGTCCTTTGTTAATTTGATGAAAACCACTCCCAGGTTTGCCTGGGAAGAACTCAGCTGCCTCTAACTCCAGATGCATGTTTTGATTTTTTGAGACAGAGTCTCGCTGGAGTGTGGTGGTGTGATCTAGGCTCACTGGAACCTCCGCCTCCTGGGTTCAAGCAATTTTCCTGCCTCAGTCTCCTGAGTGGCTGGGATAACAGGCATGTGCTAGCACATCAGGCTAATTTTTGTATTTTTAGTAGAGATTGGGTTTCTCCATGTTGGCCAAGGTGGTCTCGAACTCCTGACCTCAAGTGATCTGCCTGCCTCAGCCTTCCAAAGTGCTGGGTGTGAGCCACCGCACCCGGCCCAGATGCATCCATTTTAAAAGGGGGTAGGAAGATACAAAATATACTAAGAACAGGTATTTTCAGGCTTTATGCAATGTACCTTAGACAAAGTATCCTTTGTACTTTATATATATGAAATATGCTTTATATGAATCCTGCCTGTAATCCCAACACTTTGGGAGGCCAAAGTGAGATGATCACTTGAACCTAGAAGTGAGACCCCCATCCCTGCAAAAATAAAAATAAACTAGGCATGACGGCATACCTCTGTAGTCCTCGCCACTCGGGAGGGTGAGGTGGGAGGATCGCTTGAGCCAAGAATTTGGGAGACTGTAGTAAGCTATGGTCGTGTACACTGTACTCCAGCCTGAGTAACAGAGCAACTCTGTCTCCAAAAACAGTAACAACAAAAAATACATATGTATGTATATCTATATACCTACTTGAATATACCTTCTAAAAAGTATCCTTTGATCCTTTTGTAGAAGGTACAAAGCACATACAGGATACGGAGTAAAAGGAAACGGAAGAGGAGATGCGTCAGTGCGTAAGTCTAGAGATCTAGCAGCAGTGCACAACATCAGCACCAGATGTAACATTGGAGATTTCTGCTTTTAGCAAAGTGGATTTTAGGTGTTTTTGCCACACACACAGAAAGGCAAGTGTGAGATGACGGAAATGGTGATTTTCTGGCCTATGGTAAACACATCGCGATCTATATGTCTATCAAAACATCACGTTGATTTTTAAAGCTATGTGATGTGGAGGAACTGGATGGCTGGAGAAGTCCGAAGGAATAAGCTAGACTTGGGAGAGGAGGAGGAACGGAATCCATGACCCTTGCCCTGGCTTCAGAGACCTGGGTGGTGGAAATCGTGAGACAGGGCTCAGAGCCAGGCACCGGAGTTGGCTAGGCCTGGTGTCCTCCCACCTCCACCTCTTTGCAAGTATGTGACCTTGGACAAGTTACTGTGTCCCTGGCCTCGGTTTCTTCATCTGGACAATGGGGATATAAGAACCCCTACCTCACAGGGCTACTGTGAGGAGTATCACACATGAATGCTGGTGGCACAGCGGGGGGCTCAGGAATGTCACTCATTGACACTACTGTCAATCACATTCTTTGGGGTGTCTCCATACAACAGCATGAGAAGAGCCAGAGCTGAAGCCCGGCTGGGGTGTTTCCAAAGGCAGGGCTGGAGAGCACCTTCCATTCTAGAGGTCTCTGGGAAGGCCCAAGAGGAGAGCCCTAGGGACCTCAGCCTCACAGCCGACAGCAGCATAATGTGCCTCTTGCTCTTTCTCCCCTTCAGTTTGGCCCGGATCCCAGAGAGGATTGGTCGGCCTTTACTCACGTGGTCAAAAACTTGACTCTTGGTGGCGCTGTACTTCTGTGCGATAGCATCGGCCACGGCATTCGGCCCCATGAATAACGTGTTCCAGTTGTGAGAGCTAAGAGGCAGACGCAGAACAAGGAGATGAGACCACAGCTAAATGAGGGAAACTCGCTCTCAAACACGAAACCTGTCAAGAAATGGGCTCCTATGCCTGTCTATGTCCCCTCAATTTTTACCATGGGCTATGTATACAGGGCCTGAAGAAGAAACGGATGATGGCAGGTACCACCCCTAACATTAGTCCAGCGCTTCATCTGTGTCAGGAACTAAGCACTTCACATACATTCACTCACTTAAACCTTACAGCATCACAAAAGTAAGGCACTACTGTTAGTCTCCCATTTTACAGATGAGAACATTGAAGATCAGTAAGGTATGAACCAAACCCATCAGGAGTCAGAAGACCCAGGAGGCTTAGAAAGGGCAAGGTGAAGGTGGCAGAGGATTGGGTTGGGGCTCAGTGGCTTCAGGGGCACTGAGGACCTGGCGCTGTTGGCTTTGTCCTGGGCCTCCTTCTTCTTCTTGTAGGACAACGATCCCAGGGCACTGGCATCTTCGCTGGTTTCCTTCTTGATGGTAGATGGTAACACATGGAGCATTCTGCCCTGGACGGGGATGACGGGAAGGGAGTAAACAGCAGCCCTGCTTCCTGCCAGAGGATGCTGGCATCTGCCATGAGTAAGCTAGTCAGCACTAAAACCCTGACCAGAGGGTGGGAGGTCAGGTAGAACGAGGCAACTCTCTTCCCACCTGACAGGCACCCCATGTTGTGAGGGAGCCATCTGATACAGCTACACACATGAATCTTTGATTAGTTTATAACCTGCACCCGCAGCCCTCTCCCTGCCCCGCAAGCCTGCATTGCCTCCTGTCCCTGCACAGGTGAGTGAGAATGTGCGCTCCATGCTGGCACGGCCAGGTCTGGCCTGATGACCACAGGAAGGTCAAGAAATTATGAATGAATGAATGAATGAGAAAAGGAAAAGGGCGATGGTGAGGTAGCTTGAGGCTTAGGGAGGAATGCTAAGTATATTACTTGGTAACACTGAGAAAAGAGAAGTTTCTTATATTCCACTGTGGCCATTTTAATATACCCCATGAAAAAATTCCTTTCTTCTTACTTCTCTTCCAAGGTGGTATCTATAGAGATGAAGAGCAAATTCATCCATTCAAGGAATATTTTTTCAGTGCCTGCTCTGTGCCAGACACAGGTGTAGGTGCCACAAATAAGTGACAAGAACAGATCAGACCCCACCATCATGTGACTTCTGACCTTCTAGTGGCTTGTGTGAGGCAGTGACTTAGCATGCCACTGCACGTCTTCTCAGGCTCACAAAGGAGACGCCCGTGTCTACATACACACACACACACACACACACACACACACACACACAGCCTTTCCCTACCACGTGAGCCCTGCAGCCTCCCGGCCAGCCCAGGAGGGGCCTCACCTGGAATACCTGCCCGTCTACCTCCGAGTAGGCCTTCACAGCGTGCTCAGGGAACATGAAGGTGACGAATGCAAAACCCTTGGGTTTCTTGGTCAGGCTGTCGATGGGGTAGTGGAGCTCAGACAGGGGACCTGAGGACAGGAGAAGTGTTGGTCTCTGGTGGGCTGGGGACACTTGGCCCTGGCGAAGAATGTGGTGAGCACCAGCTGTGCGCCAACCTCACAGGTCACAGGTATCATTTCCAGTTCCCTCCATGTGTCTATCCTAAGAGCAACAATACCTGGGCTGGAGCTCAGCACCACCAACTACCACATGTGCAGCCTGCCTTGGCCAAATGGGCCTCCCCATGCCTCAGTCTTTTCATCTGTAAAACGGCACAACAGTACCTAGCTTACGGGCAGCTACACAGGTTAAATGCGTTAATGCATGCATAGTGCACGAAACGGTGCCTGCTACAGTTAGTGCCAAAAAAGTGTCTTCCGTGATGACATTAGCATCATGCTCCGATTAAAGCACAGCCTGTCTGCATTGGTTTCCACTCTGAATGCCAGGGTCTGACCACGTCCCCTCTCTGGGTCTTTCCTTCCCAAATGGACATTTGCAGTGTATCGATGAATGCTTCTCCCACTCGGCCCAGCCATGCGGTGTAAGCCAGGACGCCAGGTTGTGTGGAAGGATTTGGTGAGCAGAATAGTGAATGGAACAGAAGGTTCCACTGTGGGCAGGTCCCAGGCTTGGAGGTCAGCTCCTTTTCCTGATGGCAGGCCCCACTCAGGGCATCCTTGCCCTGACAATGAGGCCCACATCAGGTGTTCAACCTACATCTCTGATCCCGCAACCTATGGCTGGCCTCTGCACAGACACAGGGAGACAGTACGGGGATCTCAAAGGTGACAAGACCTGCCCTCATCCCGAACCCTCCATTTCTGCCCTTCAACAATGCTAATTATACAGACACACACAGCCTGTCGTGGCCAAGCTGGACTACAGGCCTTCGACCCCATGGCCTGATGAATTACAGCAACACCACCACTAACCTCGACACTATCAAATAATCTATCTGGTGCTCAGCTTGGGTAAGAAGACGTTACATAATTAAGGGCTGAGCTCTGGAGGAACACCGTGTAGGTATATCCGTCAGGCATAACCTGTACAGTTTCTCAATTCTGATACTGAGTGGCAAGAGTTTGGACAGCAAGGGACTATCTCAAAAAAGCCATCCAAATCGCTTCAATTCTGAATTTGGAGAAGTTACAGAGTTCAGACAGCAAAATATGCCAGTGATGCTATTAATACCTTTTACTTCCTGCCCTGCAAATCCCTGCATTCATCATGTCATTGAACCCTCACAGAAGCTCAGGGGTAGTTGGTCCCATTTTACAGATGAGAAACCTGAGGCAAGAGATGTGGTGTTGTGTGCACACTGAGACCCAAACCCAGGAGGTCGGAGTCTGAGCCACTGGGTACCCACAGCCGCGAGGCCACGCCCCTACCGTATTTGGAGAAGAGCTTCTCCAGGTCCTCCTCGGTGCTGGTGTAGGGCAGGTTCCTTACAAAGAGCCTTCCGGACTCAGCCAGGTCCTCCTCCTCTTCATTCTCCCCGAGCATCCGGCCTTGCCAGGATTTGGCGCTATTCTTTGGCAGACCCTTGGTGGTGGTGACATTCTTTTCCCTGAACACTTCAATGTAGCGCCCACCTGCAATGAGGAGGAGTCAGGGCTCCGGGTGAAGCCTGGAACTTGCCAGAGACTCCTTGCTGGTGACTCCAAACTCTTCTCTGCTGCCTTCCAGACAACATGATCAAGGTGGCAGATGACAGCACCCAACACCTGCCCTATCACGTGGGCATAAGCCAACACCAGGCTTGAACCCAAATCTCACTCATCCTGCCAGTTCCGCTTCAGCCCTGGAGGGAGCCTGCCTGGGTTATCCCAAACCACAGTAAAGCATTCTCTAAACTCTAGAGTGTATTCTCTGGCACTGTTGCTGTTCTGCCTTGGGAAGGGCCTTAGGTGACAGCCCAGCCCTGGGTACCTACCTGCTGATGATGTGTTTGCACGCACAGCTCCTGTGCCTGATTAGGGCACTACTGTCACTGTATCCTTCACAGGATTCCCAAGGCTCCCCATCTTCTCTAACATAGCTCACGCCTTCACTGGGGGTGACAGCTGGATTCAAATCACTAGGCCAAGGATTGGTCAAAGATTGCATCCCTGGGTATTGTTCAGACCTCCCGACTCTCAGGAATTTGCGCATGCTGTTCCCTTTACTGAACGTCCTGCCCGTAGAACCAGAGCCTGCTTCCTCAACTGCAGACTTGTGTTCCGATGTCGCTCCTCAGTGAGGCCAAGGGAGATAGCCAAGCCTCCTCCAATCCCTGCCTTCCCCAGGACCCGTGCCTGCTCGGTGTTTTCCTGAAGCATAAATCGCACATATAATCACCTGTCTCTCCCTGCTAAGTCAGTTTACTCTGTCAGCTCCAGAGGGGCAGGGATCTGGGTATGTTTGCTCCCCACCATGTCCCCAGTGTCTAGAACAGTGCCTGCCGAGAGTCAGTACTCAAGGAGAACATGGAAAGGAAAGGAAGAAATGAAGATGGACCCTGTAATACAGAGCTGGCACGTGGCCAGGGCTTCCTTACCCATGTACTCCCGGTTGCATTTCAGAGCTTTCTTCACTTCCTCTTCGTTGCTGAAATCCACAAAGATGTACCCTGACAGAGGACAATGACAGAGCTAAAATGTGAAGGCCTCACAGACACTTGCGGGGGTCCCCAGAGGAACACGACACTGTGCTAGGAGCAGAAAGTGAGCGAGAAACCTCTATCTTGGCCAAATCTCCAAAATACAAAGGACCTCCCTCTCTCTCTCCCACTCACAGCCAAATTTCCCTTTGCAGAAAGCATCCAGACCCCAGCCCGGTGTTGTGGATGAAGATGCTGAATGCCAGGAGTCAGAGAACAGGGCCTTTCTGTCTCCCTCCAAGCCTCACCCCAACCCCTGACTGGCACCTGTTCCATGCCATTCTCTGGAGAAGGGCCCATGGCTGCAGCATGAGGCCCCGTCTAGGCACTGGAAGCACCATTTCCACGTCCACTCTGCTCCTGGGTGCCTGAGGCCTTGACTTGCACAAAAATAAGCAAATGGGGAGTCTTTCCTTTAGCACGAGAGGCTCTGCTTCCTGACCTCATTGGGCCTCAACACTGTGAGGCAACAAGATGAGGACCGTTCCCCTGCTTTTCTGGGGCAGTAAAGAAATACTCCCAGGGGCACACAGCTACTAGCTGGCAATGTCTAGTACTTGGTCCAAAGCCCTGGGATTTTCTGCCTTTTATCACAAGACTGTTTAGACTCTTTCTGTGACTCCTCTGTGCCCTCCTTTCCTATATCCAGGCACCTGATCCATCCCCATAAACATCTTTCATCCTTCTACCTCCTCCTCTCCATGGCCACACGCTGGGCCCACTCACCACTGATCCTCCCTTAAAGGATGGCAAATGCCCAGCTTCAGGACCCGTTCTCCACCAGCCAGGGACCATCTTAAATCTGATCACTGCTCCCCTGCCCATCCCGCTCTAAGCTCCTGGGGGCTCCTGCATCCAGACCGAAGCCCACCATCTTTCTTTTCTTTTTTCTTTTTTTTTTTTTTGTGAGATTGGGTCTTGCTATGTTGTCCAGGCTGGACTTGAACTCCTAGGCTCAAGTAATCCTCCCACTTCAGCCTCCTGAGTAGCTGGGACTCACACAATCTTTAATGAGGCTCCTAAGCTTAAGGGGCCTGGCCTGCCTCCTCCCCAGATCCCTTGCAGGGGACATTCTGCTGCTTTTCAACATTTCATGCTTGGATGCCAGCTCTCTCCAACTCCGGGGCCTCCAATATGGTTTTCTCTCAGCCCTGACAACTCAGATATGCTTCTTGTTCCCTCTGGTCCCTGAAGTGTCATAAAAGCAAGGGTAATACCATCACCACCACCACCAGCATGAATATTAATAGCAGCTTTCATGAAGTGTGCAACAGGGGCTTAGCACTGCTCTAAATGCTGTACATGTGGCCATTCGTGCAACTTGGCAAGACAGATTTACGTAACTGCAGAGAAAAAAAAACTGAGGCTAAGTCCCTTGTCCAAGGTCATAGGGCTCCTACCTGAGATACCTGGACAGGGCCCTTTACCCTGACCTCACCTTGCCCTGTAATCAATTTGCAAGGAGAGGGATGGTCGGCTGAATGGATCAGCGGGGTAAGTAGAGCTTTTGTGGTAAGAGAGAGTTGGGGAAGAAATGCAGAAACAGGCCAGTGATGAGACACCCCTCAAGCATGCCTGCTTCCCCAGATCTTAGCCGAGGTAGCTCTCAACTGCTCTGCCCAGGCTGGTGTCTTCTTGCCAAAGACAGAGTACCCAGCCAGCGGCTTCAGGCCTCCCTGCAGCCAGGGGGCCTCAGTGTGCTCAGCACATCTGCTGCGGCATCTCCTGTAGTCTCCAGGGCTGGCCAGCAAGGAGGAGTAGGCATGGGCAGGTGCCCACCTTCCTGAGCTCGTGCCCACTTTCCCGAGTTCAGACACTGCCTACTGGCAACACTGCTCACCTCAGGGAAGCCAAAACCCAGGGATCTGAAGCCAAGGGAGGTGCCTGGTTGCCCAGAGTACAAACCTGCAGGGAGGGTGGCACAGGGCACCACCACACATGCTCAGATCAGAGCCCTGCCCACCAGCAGAGCTGCTTGTGGACTTTGCCCAGCAAACCCCAGGACCTGCTGGCATTTGTTTCAGTGCAATAGGTGAGCCCACCGGGATAGGTGAAGGCTAAGATGAGGAGGGGAAAGATGAGGAACACAGGTGAAACCTCCGTCCCTGTACACCAGGCCACCAAAGGCTGCGGCAAGAGATGCAGCCTTGACCTGACCACATCCACAGAACTGAGGACCACAAATCGGAAGAAAAACGGGGGCCCTTCAAATTTCTCCCTTATTCAAGTACCCCAACCTTCCATCTTCACTGTCTGCCCCCTTTCCCCCCGCCCGGAAACATCCCAGAGTGTACCTGTTTTATTCCCATGAGCGTTTCTCACAATTCGAATGGCCACCGGTTTCAGGGGTGCCAGGAATTCCATAACATTTTTCTGTAAGAAGAAGAAAAGGTTTTTTCCCTTTACCAACCAAATAATAAAAGTAAAACCCAATGAAAAGACATGAGGCAAATTTCTGAATCAGAAAGAATTACAAAGTGTTTCATTCTTTAGTTTTCCTCTTTCCTTAGACATATCTCTTCTCCATCATTAAAATTACCTTGGAAAAAATTTTGAAAAAAAAAATTGAAGAAATGAGAGTAATATAAGTATAAAATAGCAAGGTCTCTATCAGCAGTAAAATAACAATGTCACTATTAGCATTTTAAGACATGGTTTTCCCTCTAAGATAATTTTATATACTTGAGTTTAAACCTGGCCTTTTTCACTTCTCATGAAGCTTGGATATTTGGTTTTTGTGTATTAGTTTTGCAAGTAGCCACCTAGTGGTTTTTGTCTTATTAATTAAAGCATGTGATTTTCTGAATGGTTGGTACTGAAAAAATTCTGACAAAATTACAAGACAACTCAGTGAGTTTAATAAAACCTAAATGCTTGCTACTTTGAAGTTTGATAATTTGTATTTCAGAAATTTATAAACATATAGAGTAACAGAAAAGATAAAGACTTCAAGAGAAAAGAGCAAAAGACACGACTGGGCATGTTTTCTTGGGGGATGGGGGGAAAGAAGTCTTGCTCTGTCACCCAGGCTGGAGAGCAGTGGCACGATCTCAGCTCACTGCAACCTCCGCCCCCCGGTTTCAAGCGATTCTCCTGCCTCAGCCTCCTGAGTAGCTGGGACTACAGGCGTGTGCCACCATGCCCGGCTATTTTTTCTGTATTTTTAGTAGAGACAGGGTTTCACCATGTTAGCCAGGATGGTCTCGATCTCCTGACCTTGTGATCTGCCTGCCTTGGCCTCCCAAAGTGCTGAGATGACAGGTGCAAGCCACCTAAAAGAGAAGATATGCTGGCCAGGCGTGGTGGCTCATGCCTGTAATCCCAGCACTACGGGAAGCCAAGGCAGATGGATCACCTGAGGTCAGGAGCTCGAGAGTAGCCTGGCCAACATAAGAGTGAAACTCTGTCTCAAAAGAAAAAAAAAAGATATATGTGATCTACAAATGTGAGAGGATGATCCGTCTTACAAGTAATTTAAAATATAAACTAACATGAGATGCCAACTTGACCTATCACATTGATAAAACATTAGTAAGACCCAGGGTTCAGGGAAATGGGCACTTGTGGACTCTGCTAGAGGGAGTATAAATTAGCAGTGCTCCCAGAGGAGCATTGTTCTGTGCCAATGCCTTAGAATTATACATGCATGTGCCCACACAGAGTATCTATCTGGAGCAAAGATCAGCAAACTATGGCCCACAGGTCAAATATCACCATGGTTTGCTTCTGTATGGCTTGCAAGCTAAAAATGGTTTTTACATTTTAAAAGGTTATTTATCAAAAAACAGAACAAAACAAAACTCAATGAATGTGTGACAGAGATTATATGGCTTATAAAGCCTAACATATTTACCATTTGGCCTTTACAGACGAAGTCTGCTCACCCCTAATTGCAAGGAACTGCATTATTAGAACAGCAAAAAACTGGATGTAACTCCCATGTCCAAATTGAGAAGAGTGAGTAGGCCTATGGACGTTTACCCTGAGTAAGGAAGAGCATGAGCATAAAAAATGCTGCTGTAGCGGAGTATACTCAACATTCAAAGAGGCCTACGACACACCATGATGGGGGGAAAAAGAGTTTCCAGAGTTTCCAGTAAAGAATTGCTTCTTAGACATACAAAGACAAAAACGTCTAAGAAGACGCTGTCGGGAGCTTTGATGGCACTACTGTACTACAGCCTGGGCAACAGAGCGAGACCCGTCTCACAAAAAAATTGAAAACTAAAACCAAAGGAAAACAAAACAAAAACCGTCTAAGAGGATAACACCTAAAATGTATCAGCAGACGTCGCTGGGTGGGATATAGGCGCACTGGCCAGGGCAGCCCCAGTTTGCCTGGGATGGGTGGTTCCTGTATCTGTATCAGACCTGCGGTAATTCCACCCACAGCCTGGCACCCCACTGGGGTGGCACCCCCCTCCCCCCCGCCACTCTCAATTTAGTGTAGATGAGAATTTAGTAGTCATCCTACTTTTGGGCAGTTTTTAAAATATTCTTTTCATTTAGCTATACGGTTTTGAATGTTCTATATAGAACTTCTACTACTTTCATGAGGAGCAAAAATCAAAACTGTGTTCACCGCTGTTATAGACCCAGAGACAGCAAACTACAGTCCACAGGCCAGATCTGGCTCACCGCCTGTTTTCCTAAATAAAGTTTTATTTATGGGCACCTACTTTCTGAGACTGCTTCCTTGCTGTAAGAGCAGGGCGAGTAGTCACAAGAGAGACTGTGTTGATCACAAAGCCTTAGATAACTACTGGCTGACCCCCCTACCCTGTTCTTTAACAGAGTGTGTGCCCACCCTGGCGCGGGTGAAACCAGAACTCTGTCTTGGTGTAGCCACTTGTTTCCTGACCCTGTCGATGCCGGAGATCTTATTTCTCAGCCTTCTTGGCCCCCAATTCCTCCCAGCTCATGTCCTCAACTGACTCTAACACCCCCATGCACCAAAGGCTCCTGACCCCCCCATCCTCGTTCTCAGCACATACCTCTGTGACGTTGAACGGGGCTCCCCGCAGCTTCACAGTGTGGCAGGTGGTGGGTTCCTTCTGGTTTGCTGGCTTTTCTGTCTGAGTGATCAGAAGAACAAACAGAAGTGGCCACAATGACCCTTCATACAGCTGCATATATTGGATATAACCCCCGTGTCCAAAGTTAGGGGACTGAGTAGGCCTATGGAAGTTGATAATTTAGTAGTCATCTTCTTATGGGCAATTTTTTAATATTCTTTAATATTCGCTGGGACATTTCAGTGCCAGAGAAGGTACCTGCTGCCAGGGGGAGCTGGGGACTGCTGGGAAGAATCAGTGCCTACTGTGGATGGAGTCTGGCCAGAGGTGTGGCGTATGCGATGCCGAGCCTCCATGTGTCCCTGAGATGAGCACTGGAACCACAGCCTGGCAAGCTACGGGCACTCAGACAGGGGCCCTGGGGCCACAAGGGGGGTTGGATTGGGAAGGAGCCCTGAAGAACAGGGACGTCAGTGTCACTATTTAGGGCTCTCAGTGCCAGACGCTGAGCTAAGCACTTTACAGATGCCACTGACCTACTCAATCTTTACAACAATGCCACGGAGACTATGGGTTCAGGATCTTTTTTTCCCATGAAAAACCTACGTTTCTGGTAACTTTCATGGCAACAAAACCTGCCCTGACTTGAATGCACTTCCTAGCAAAGCCTGCCCTGAGTGGATGTGAGCCCATTTAGAGCTTATGCTGATCCATGTCGCACCAGCAATCTTTTCTGGCTGCACTGCAGAAATGTGACTGCGCTTGATGACGGGGTGCCGCCTTGTATCCTCCGTATTTAGTAAGAAGGTAGGCAGAGGGGAGGGAGCCTGCTGGGGGTAGTGCATTCCAAAGGGTTCGCTTCCTGAAATCCGAAGATTCCAGAATTCCAGCATATACTCAGGCACAGGGTCAGAAACCGGAGGCAGGGAGCAGTGCCACCATGAGCGTCTTCTTATAGATGAAACTTAGAGGCCGAAGGAAGTAAAGTGTCTCACCCAAGGTCCAACAGCGACTAAATTTTGGAACTAGGATTTGAGCTCATAATTCTGACCTCTCCACACTCTACCACCTCTCTGAAATAAGCATTTTGCAGGGGAGGGGGGCAAAAAAGGACAGGGTGCATAACTAGAAAAGACAGAAAATAAAAGGAGAGAGGAAGAAGAAAAGAGGAAAGAAAAGCGGAGGATAAAGCCTGCTTTCATCTCATTTGAAAATTCAGGGCTGGGGCCAGGTGCAGTAGCTTACACCTATAATTCCCACAATCTAGGAGGCTGAGGCAGGTGGAACACTTGAGGCCAGGAACTCGAGATCAGCCTGGCCAACATGGTGAAACCCTATCTGTACTAAAAATACAAAAATTATCCAGGCGTGGTGGTGCACGCCTGTAATCTCAGCTATTTGGGAGGCCGAGGCACGAGACTCACTTGAACCCAGGAGGCAGAGGCTGCAGTGAGCTGAGATCACACCACTGCATTCCAGCCTGGGAGACAGAGAGAGACTGTCTCAAAAAAGAAAAAAAAAAAATACAGGCTGGGCAGGGAGAGAGGCCATACCATACTTCAGAGAGAAAGGGGCGAACCTGGACAACATGTCAAACTGCCCTGTCTCTGATGCAGAGGACTCCCAGGTGGGAGACAAGTTGGCTGACCTCCAGGGAAGTGCCCACATTTACAATCTTAACTTTAGACCCAGCAGACCTGGTACTAAATTCTGAACCCACCACTTTCCAGCTGTGATCTTGGGTGAGGCACTTTCCTTCTCTAGGCCTCAGTTTTCTCACTTGTAAAATGGAACAAGGGCAGCATCTGCCCTCAAGATGGCGATGAGATGCAATGGCATGGCAGGCATGGTGCCCAGTGTGGGGCATGGGCTCAGCTGATCCTCCCTGTTACTGCTGATGACTGGTCTGCGCCCCTCTGCCTGCTTTGTTACTTAACACAAAGGATAACGGCTCAGAGGCATCACTTAGCTCGTTCCGCCCCACAGGTGGGATATGGGTGTGTTGACTGGGGCTGCTCCAGTTTGTCTGTATCTGTAGTCATCCGACCTACAGTAACGACATCCACAGCCTGGCACCCCAGTGGACTCGAATCTCACTTTCAACTTAGTGTGGATCATCACTGAGTTGTCACCCTACTTATAGGCAATTTCTGGAAGGCAGGCGACCTGTCTAGCTTAGCAACAGAAAATAAATGCAGAGGCTGGGTGCAGTGGCTCATGCCTGTAATCCCAGGACTTTGGGAGGCTGAGATGAGCAGTTCACTTGAGGTCAGGAGTTCGAGACCAGCCTGGCTAACATGGCAAAATCCCATCTCTACTAAAAATACAGAAAAATTAGCTGGGTGTGGTGGTGCATGACTATAATCCCAGTTACTCAGGAGGCTGAGGCAGACAATCACTTGAACCTGGGAGGCAAAGGTTGCAGTAAGCCGAGATCGCACCAGGCACTCCAGCATGGAGCATGGGTGATAGAGCAAGACTCCATATCACAAACAAACAGATAAGAAACGAAGAAAGGACACATGGGAAGCAAGTGGCAGGGCCAGGTCAGAAGGCGCCTTTGGACTGCTGAGCCGCGTCTTTCCTCCACATTCCCCTCTCCTAAAAGAGGAGCTGCGGGGACCACGGGCAAGCAGAGAGCAGACCTCCTCCCTCAGCACCTGCGGGATCCACACGAACCTCGGCTCTGGTATCCAGTGGCCTCTTTTTCCCAGCAGGCATTCCTTGCTCTTGGCCTACACCCTTGCCGTCTCTTTCCTGCAGGGTTTGGATGGAGGAGGAACCCTCTTCCTCGACCTCACTCCCTTCATCACAGTGCACGGCCTCATCTTCACTTTCCTCTTCCTCTGAGGAAGAGGATGACCCGGACTTCACCATCTTGGACTTCAGGTAGTCCATGTCCGACAGCTCCTTCTGCACAGCTGCCTTCCGTTCGAGGTTTGCCTCTTCTGGAAAAACAGGGAGGCTAGGATCAGTGATCGCTATGAGTAAACCAGAGTTTGGAGGCAGCAAATGGCAGATGGTCCTCCTAGTGGGGGGCCTGAGGCACCACACCCACCCTGTCCATGGCCCCTGCTGCCAGCATCCCCCTTAAGGGCTCTGATTAGCAATGCCAAATGGGGTGAAGCCACTGCAGCTTTGATATTCCCTGTGTCACACATTGTGAAACGCAAGCTCCTCATCAGGGCTGGCTGCGCGGGCTTCTTCCACTGTCACCTCCTGCTCCAGCCAACCCCACCCACCTGGAGTCCCTCAAGCCCATACACTTCCCTTTCCTCTGTCTTTGCGGTGCTGTTCTCTTGCTTGGAACCCCTTTTCTCTCCCCACCCCTACTGTGTCCCACTAAGACTCACAAGTTCCTCAGATGTGAACTAAGCGCAGCAGAAATGTTACCAGGCGTAATTGCACTAAATGCACATCCTCTCACCTTTACACCCAATTCGACTCCCAACTTTCCACCTGTATCCTCCTGTGTTGCAATTGCTCGCTTGCCCACCAGGCCTCCCGCTAAACCACAAACCCCTTCGGAGGATAAAGGCTCAGTCCCTCACCGTCCCTGCTAACGCTCCCGTCCTCCTTTCCTGCGTTCTCTCTGTAGCACTCATCATCCTATCATACACCCAACAGTGGACTTATTTTTTATTGTTTCGCTCCCCAACCATAATCGCAGCTCCACAGAGCAGGGACTCTTCCATCTTTTGCTTATCAACATAATCCCAATGCCTGAAGCATGGCTGGCAGATAGTAGGTGCTCAAGAAGTATTTGTTGAGTGACTGACTGACTGAATACATAGCTAGGATCAGTGAAGGCAGATGCACCTGCAGAGGGATCATCACCCCACTGGAGAGCTCGAGGGCTCACCTGACTCCTATCTTCTGACACAGAGGGGTCCCTAGTGCCCATTGGCCCAGTGGCAAGCACAGGCCCGTGCACATGGAGCACACACCATCCACAGGCCCTCACCTTCCAGGTCCTCCCCGGCTCCCTCCTCCTCACTCTCCTGCCCGGAATCGGAGTCGAAGTTCAGGTAGTCGCTGGCCGGCTTGCTCTTCCCTCTCGAGGGCTTAGCATCCAGGCCATCGTTCACCCAGGTGGCTGCCTGCACCCGCCTCTGATGAACCGACAGAAACTCCTGGAATTCTGTATCCTCCTTCAGCTGGTGGCACCGGAACCCGGGCAGCAGGGACACAGGAAAAAGGGAGAAGAGGCAGAGAAGGCTCAGGTGGGGCTTGACCTTTCTGACTCTTGAGAGGGTGAGAAGATTCCTCAAGTTCACGTCCCCCATTCTCTAGAGGACCCCGAGGTACAGCATGGTCAGTTCTGAGGAAGGCAGAGCTGACTCCTCACCAGACAAAACTAAGAGGCCATGGAGACAAGGCCTGGGGAGATCAGAGGCACAGCTCTCTGCTTGCCAGGGCTGGACTCCACCCTCTCCAGCCTCTACCCCCTCCAACCTCCTCCCTCTCCTGCCTCTTCCCTCTCCCAGCCTCCACCTCCTCTAGCCTCTTCCCTCTCCAGCCTTCTCCCTCTCCCAGCCCCTATCCTCTCCATCCTCCACCCTCTCCCAGCCCCTACAATCTCCATCCTCCACCCTCTCCCAGCCCCTACCCTCTCCATCCTCCACCCTCTCCAGCCTCTTCCCTTTCCCAGCCCCACCCTATTCCACCTGCTACCCTCCCTCCTTCCTGGGCAAGAGGACAGACTCTCACCTTCTCCAATTGACCTGCCACCTTTTTCTCGTCCTGAAAAACAGAAGGCATAAAGGGTGAGGGTCACACAGATGAAGGGAGCTAGGAAACAGAACTGCATTGCCCGGGGAAGGCCCATCTTTGGGAACCAAAAGGGAGTGACTACCCTGCTGAAACCAGGGACAGAGGCTAGAGTGATCCTTTACGTACTTTCTTAATTTCTGGAGTAGCAGAGTCTTTTGGAGGCTGCTCGGGCTGGCTTGGTTTCTGGGCATGTTTGCTCCAGGCTCTGGGTTTTGTTGGGTCCCCAAACGACTTGCAGAACTCCACCTGTGTGGGAAAGAGTGATTTTAGCACCTGCCACGGCACCCAGGTTGGGTGCTGTCCTTCAGCATCTGGGAGCTTGGGCATTTGAGACAACTGGCACTTCCTAGCTGAGTTTGCTGAAGTAGATTACACCTCACCCCTTAGCCTGGGCTTTCTTCTCCTTCAAGTCTAGAATGTAACACTTTAACAGTCTATCACTATGAATCTGTAATACTGTAAAGATAATAACTGCCACTTACTGAGGAATTCCACATGCCAGGTGCCGTCTAAAGTGCTGTGCAAGTACTGACACACTGAGGCCTCTCACATCAGTGACAGCTAGGACTTTCTACAATTCAGATCAAGAATTTGAAGCACCAGAAAGTCAATTGACCTGGGTTACCCAGGTAGTAAGTGACAGAGTGAAGACTGGAACTTGGGGAGTCTCTCTGGGCTCTGCAACCTGAGTTCCTAACCATCCACTCTACAGGGCAGCATGAAGAGGGCATGAGATGACTTGAGCCAAGCACTCAACCAGGGTCTGGGCAGGGCAATGTGAGGCAGCAGCTACCAGGGTTACCCCACACTGCCCTGGGATAATTATCATAAGGTGAGCTCATCAGGCTCCAGAGAACAATTCAAGAGTGATAGGGACAATGGGGTGACCAGTGGAGGCATGGAAGAGGACTGGAGACCTGCCCTGAGCTGATGATGTCCCGTTCTAGCCCGAAAACCTCCAATACGCTCCTCTGAAGGGGCTTTGAGAGTGCTTGTTGTTGGGGCATCCACCACCGAAAGCCACTCCCAGCCACAGTTAACCACTGCCCCCAGGGGAAGGAGCTGCCAGCTGGTTGCAATCTATTTTGCTTTTAAGACACAGGATGTCATTGCATTATGCAGGCTGGACTGCAGCCTCAAACTCTTGGGCTCAAGTGAGCCTCTTGTCTCAGCCTTCTGAAGAGCTAGGATTCCAGGCACAAGTCGCCATGACTGGCTAGTTTTTTAGTTTTGTAAAGACATGGTCTCACTCTGTTGCACAGGCTGGTCTTGAATTCCTGGCTTCAAGTGATCCTCCCACCTTAGCCTCCCAAAGTGCTGGTGTCAAAGGCATGAACCACCTGGCCAGTTACAGTCTCTTGTGCACACTTTCAAAATAGGCTTGTTATTTCTATAAGAATGACATGTGCTCGTGGTAAAAAATTTGAATACTATACAAAAGTACAATCAAAGTTAAAAAAAAACTGTACTCCAATGCCTATTATTTATAGAAAGGAATGATTAGTATTTTGGTACAAATCCTATCTTATGGCCTTTTATGCATTTATCATACATGTATGGATGGAGGAATATGGTCGTGTCTACATGGGATCACACCAGACATGGATTTGTCCATCATGTTTTTTCCTTCTCAACAAAGCATTAGAGATGTTTTTACAAAGTCACTAAATACACATGAGTGACCTGAGTGGAGCCCCCCTCCTCCAGGAAGCTTTCCTGACTCCTCCCTGGCCAGGCTAGAGAGCTTTGTTCTCCCACGGTCCCTGGGGTTCACCCTATCATAGCATGGATGACACTCAGCCAAAGTGGCATGCTGACCTGTCAGCCCCCTGCCTTCCCAGAGGTAGCTGGCTCCAGGAGGACAGGGGCTGAAGATCACCTTGTTCTCTAAATTCCCTGCAGCATTAAGTGCTTGCTAAATGCAGGAGTGAATGGATGAGGCAGAGCTGTGGCTCTCAAGGTGTGGGCCTCAGACCAGCAGCATGGCCATCATCTGAAAGCTTGTTGGATGTGTGAATTCTTGGGTTCTGCCTCCATGCACTGAATCAGATTCTCTGGGGACGGCCCCAGGAAACTGTTATAACAAGCTCTCCAGTGGTTCTCGTGCACATGAAAGTGTGTGAATCAATGAGGAAGAAGACCAAAGACATCACAAAGTGAAGGGGGACAGTCTTTGAACTCAAGTGTTGAGTGAAAGATCAAGCCGTCCCATTCCACAGGCAGGTAAGGGTGAGACTCCCGCCCACTCACTGTGATCCGGGATGTGTCAATAAAGCTCTTGTTAAAGTGCTTCAGTGCCTTTTGGGCCTCTTCCTCCGTCTTGAAGCCGATGAAGCCAAACTTGCGGAACTTGCCGTCTTTGGTGAACTTCAGGCTGCAGTCCGTCAGCGTGCCGAAGGCGGCAAACAGCTGCCTGAAACGCTCCTCCTTCATCTAGGACAGAGAGGAATGAGAGATGAACTGGAAAGTCCCCAGAGCAAGGAGACAAAATGGGCTGGAAACCTGAGGCCACGAGATTCTCTAAGTGTGGCCTTAGATGAAGAGGGGCAGAGTGTGCTTTTCTAGTTAGAAACGGGTTCCAGCTCTGACTCTAGCATGGGCTGTGTGGCCTTGAGAAAGTCCCTTAAACACTCACTGATGTGAAAATCAAAACTCATATGGCTGCAAATGACATCTTCCTACTCTATGAGGCTCCTATAAGACCAATGATAGAAGCAGTATTATGTCTTCTACATAGTGGATACCTAATAGATACCTGTTGGAATAGGCGAATGAATGAACAGACATGGTAAGCTATATAAACCTTTGCTAATGAAGCCCCCCAAAAGATGCCCACATCCGAATCCCTGGAACCTGTGAACATGTTACCTTACATGGCAAAAGAGACTTGGCAGGCATGACTGATGTGGAGACAGAGATGATCTGGGTTATGCAGCCAGGTCTAACGTCACCTCAAGGGTCCTTATGAGAGGGAGGCAGGAAGGTCAGAGAAGATGGAAACACAGAGAGATCGGAAGATGCTGTGCTATTGGCTCCAAAAATGGAGTACACAGCTATCAGCCAAGGGAAGCCAGGTGTCTCTAGAAGGTGAAAAAAGGCAAAGGGACAGACACTCCCACAGAGCCTCCAGAAGGACTGCAGACCTCCCACAGGCTTGATTTTAAGATTTCTGACCTGCAAAACTGTAAGGTAATACATTTGGATTGTTTAAGCCACTAAGTTTATGCTAATTTGCTATAGCTGCACTAAAAAACTAACATACTAATATTATGATAATTAGGTCAAGAAGCCCCATACTGTGGAAAACAGGCCCCTGGCTTCTTACCATCTTCACTGCAGCCAGGCTACCCTCACACCTCAGTTTTCTAAGCAGATACTGGGTGATTTGTGTGTGTGGTCGTGGAATTGCTGCACAAATAGCCAAAACAAGTTTGAAAGAAGCGAGAGGCCTTGGCAGTCCAGCCAGAAGACGTTTTCTGAGGTATCTTCTTACTAACTGATCTCATCAAAACTCTGAGTTAGGAACTTTTACCCACATGTTATAGAGGAGAAAATGAAACCCATAAGGGATGAATGATCTGCCCAGGGCCTACAGAATCCAGGTTTGCGACTCAATTTAGAAATATAAAAGACAGTGAATTCAAGTCCTCAGTGCCTGGGAGAGACCTCACTCAAGTCTGAATCCATCATTCCTTTGCCAAAAACCTTTTGGTGACTTTCCAGTACCCGAGTCTCAAGGATAAGAACCTAAAGGAAAACATGAGACTTCAAGATCTGCCCCTCACCAACCTCTTCAGCACCACATCTTGCCAAAGTCCTCACAGCCTTCTTACCTCTGAGGTTTTGGTTGTCCCCTGTGGGTGACATTTCCCAAGACAGGCCCTGGATAACTCCTCATTCTCAGTTGTACCATCTCCTACTCCAAGAGGCCTTTCCTAGATGCCTTAGATAAGCAAGGTAAGCAACCTCGCTGTGCTCCCACAGCACCCAGTTCATACGTCAAACCCTGCACCATGCGCCATAATGACTGGTGCCTGTCTTTTCCTCTAGCCTTCAAGTCCCATCAAAAATAAGGACCAAGATTTATCCACTTCTATCTACAGTGCTGGCAATATGACAAGTACTCACTACTAAATATTTGTTGAAAAAATAATTAAGATGAGTGCAGGCAATCATGCTAAGAGAGAGTCAGGTGTAGCAGTGAGGAATGCAAATTCTAGAAAAAGACTGCTCAATTCAATACCTGCTCTATAAATTACACCAGTGTGACCTCAGGCAAATCCCTGTACCTCACTGCACCATGGTTTCTTTACCGTTAAAATGGGTGTAAAAATAAAACTTACCTCACAGGGATATGGTGAAGATTGAATGAGTTGCTTTACCTAAAGCACCTGTAACATTGTAAACTCTCAAAGTGTCAGCTGCAACTGCCCGTGTTTTGCAATTCTTTCATTCATGAGATAAGACAAACAGTGATGAGCGTCTACTACACCATGAAGCACAACAAAGCTGAATCTGGGAGGGAAAGGAAGTGCAGCCACGCTAAAAGTCCTCATCCCAGAAATCAAGGCATCAGGACACACTGCCTAACCTGACGGACAGAGCAGTAATAGATATTTGTAAGTATACTACTCAGAGATGATGACAGGAGAACTAAAAACAAGAACATTACAGACACTGGAGGGAGGAACAGATGATCTAAATTCCTCATTTTTCATAGTCAAGGCCTAGGAATAGTCACTGGGGTAGGCAGGTGAAAAGGAGGAGAGCACACTCCTTGAATATACAGAGATACATGTGGGGAGTCCTAAAAACAAATCATGAAGACGGTTTCTCCTGGATAGAGAGGGAAAGTAGGACAGAGCAGACTTCGCTACTCATGTTACACACTACTATAGTGTTTGAATTTTGAAAACTGTGTGTCACAAGTCTTTCCCACCTGACAAAGAAGGGGAAAAAAAAGGAAAGGAAAAAACTCCACAACATTAAAACTGAAATAGGGGCCAGGGGCCAGGGGCGGTGGCTCACACCTGTAATCCCAGCACTTTGGGAAGCCAAGGCAGGCTGATCACCTGAGGTCAGGAGTTTCAGACCAGCCTGGCCGACATGTGAAACCGTATGTCTCTAATAAAAATACAAAAATTAGTCGGTGCATGCCGGTAGTCCCAGCTACTCGGGAGGTTGAGGCAGGAGAATTGCTTGAACCTGGAAGGCGGAGGTTGCAATGAGCCGGGATTGCCGAGACCGCTATACTGCACTCCAGCCTGGGCGACAGAGTAAGACTATGTCTTAAAAAAACAAAAAACAAACAAAAAAATACCTTCGTGCGAGAGAGAAAAAAGGATGAGCCAAGTCCACGTGCATTCACCTATTTTGCCTACCATGCGCCGGGTTCTGGGCTTGGCTCTACGGTAACAAAAAAGTACAGCTGGGTCACCACTCCCCACTTACTGGATAAATGCTGTAAAGCCCCTTTACTCACTCAGTATTCCCACCTGCCCTAAGGATCGAAGTGGGAATTGGAAAGAAGGTACGCAGATTAATACTCCTCATGTCTTCCCCAACAGTCTCCTGATTGAAAGACGAATACAAATACAATGTCAGACCACTAAAAAACAGTGATCGAATGAAGGAGGTTGTGGGAGCAGGGCATTTGCCACAAGATGGGAGTTGTCACCTCCCTGGGAAGAGTTGGGTTAGGAGTCAGGTACCAAACAACCGGCTGTGAAACCGTAAGCAGTCACTATTCTTCTTTCTCAGGGATCAAATGCGGATAATCCTGCCCGCTTTGAGTTCAGAACTCGCCTGGAGTCCTGCCCCAACATGCTTCGATTCTCTCCAGGCATTTCTTCCCTCCCACACAGTTTCCGGATGGTCTCATTTCAGATTCCCAAGTCCTGCCTCTGTACTCACCCCATTTGGGAGGTTCTTCACAATCAGTCGCGACATGGCGCAGGGTCCCCACTGTTTTGATTCCAACGCGACGGGACAGTGCTTCCACCAACAACTTTCACGCTACTGCCCTGGGCGCCGCCATCATTGCCGAGCCGGAACACAGTCATGTGGCCGACACTTCGGCCAGCCCCCATCCGGAAGTAGGCGTGGTTAAGCCAGAGCTACTAAGGGAAGTCACACTCCGCAAGGGGCGGGTCTGGCGCTTGCATTCTGCGCAGTCGCAGGGTCTTGGACGGATCCTGGAGACACCAGTGCAGCGGCGAGGGCGGCAGGGGGCGTGGGTTCCCAATATCCGCGTGGGATGGCGCCGAGTCCGCTTGGTATTAAGGGTCGCGCCAACGTGGCAATCGCGTTTTTCCTTTTTTATCTTCATTATGGAGCCCTAGGACTACCTTGAGAAAGCGGACAAGATTAGGGGCCCTTGCCTCCCTCGTAGAAATGGGGAAAGTGGGCCGTTTGCGGTGGCTCACACCTGTAATCTCAGCACTTTGGGAGGCTGAGGCGGGCGGATCACGAGGTCAAGAGATTGAGACCATCCAATGGTGGAACCCCCCTTCTTCCCCGTCTCTACTAAAAAATACAAAAATTAGCTGGGTGTGGTGGCACGTGCCTGTAGTCCCAGCTACTCGGGAGGCTGAGGCAGGAGAATTGCTTGAACCTGGGAGGTGGAGGTTGCGGTGAGCTGAGATCGCGTCACTGCACTCCAGTCTGGCACCTGGTGACAAAGCGAGACTCTGTCTCAAAGAAAAAAAAAAATGCTAATTGTAAATTAAGGTCTGTCCATTCAAGAGAACTCTATGCAGTTGTTAAAAAGAGGTAGGTATGTAGCTGTGAATGTTTCTGAAGGAAATGCGTCAGTCAGCAAGACACAGATGTATACTCAAAAGGATTTAACTAAAGATTATCTAGACAAGAAGCGAATTACAGAAGTGTGGGCAATGTAATGGGATGAACGATTACCCTCCCCAACACACATACTGGGGACCTCCTGACCCCCCTGGAAGCTGTGAATGTGACTTTATTTGCAAAAAGGGTTGTATTAGTTTGTTCTCATGCTGCTAAATAAAGACATATTCAAGACTGGGTAATTTATAAAGGAAAGAGATTTAATGCACTCACAGTTTCACATGGCTAGGGAGGCCTCACAATCATGGCAGAAGAGCAAGGGATGTCTCACGTGGCAGCAAAGACAGAATGAGAACCAAGTGAAAGGGGTTTCCTCTTAAAAAACCATCACATCTCATGAGACTTATTCGCAACCAGTAAAACAGTATGGGGGAAACCACCCCCATGATTCAATTATCTCCCACTGGGTCCCTCCCACAACATGTGGGGATTATGGGAGCTACATTCCAGATGAGATTTGGGTGGGGACTCAGCCAAACTATATCAAGGCTCTTTGTACATGTACTTAAGGATCTCAAAATGAGATCATCCTGAATTATCCTGGTAGACCCTAAATCCAATGACAAACATCCTTTGAAAAGAAACAGAGAACACCATCTGTCAGCAGAGGTAGAACTTGGTGTGATGCAGTCGTAAGTCAAGGAAGACCTGGAGCCACCAGAAGCTGGAAGAAGGAAGGAAGGCTTCTCCCCTAGAGGTTTTGGAGGAAGCAAGGCCCTGCTGGTAGTTTGGGGCTTCTGACCTCCAGAACTGTGAGAGAAGAACTTTGCATTGTGATGCCATCTAATTTGTGGTCATCTGAGACAGCAGCTGTAGAAAATGTATACAAGAAGGGTTAAGGAACCAACAAAGGATGGCCAACCCCCAGGGCCCAGCAACAGTGGGGAGCTATGACCACCCCTGGGGCTGAAGGGCAGAGCTGGGCATGTCATCCCTGGATCTCAGTGAGGCCAGGAGCCGTGGGAGAGGGAGGTCCTTTAAGGACTAGAGCTACGGAGAGATACAGTGTGAAACCACAAGTGTGTGTGTGTCGGGGATAAATACCATGTCCTCTCTTTCTCTTCCCAACTTCAGTTTCCTGCTGGAGCCTCCCCTTGGCCGAGCCAATGGGAAGCTGGGGGTGTGATCGCAGGTGTTGCTGTGCACACAGATTGCATCTAGGACACAGAGCAGCCTGGAGGAGCAGGCTCAGGGAATGGGAGACGGACGACTGGAGAAGAACCAGCACATGGGACAATCTCCAAGACATAGTTAAGTGAAAACCAGCGATATACTAAGTAATGTATTACCTATGCTGTCACTTAGGTTAAAAAAAAAAAGGGAGGGGGTGGGTGAGGATACATAGATGCTTGTCATGTTTGTTGGCCAGGGTACCTGTAAATTTCAAAATGAATTGTCTTGCAGCTCTGGAGTCTAGCACTTTGAGACAAAGGTGTTGGCAGCGCCGGTTCCTTCTGAGAGCCATGAGGGTGAGTGTGTTTCTCCCTCTCTGACTTGTGGTGTGCTGGCCGTCTCTGACACTCCTTGGCCTGTAGATACGTCGCCCCATCTCAGCCTTCATCTCCACTTGACAGTCTCCCTGTGTGCGTGAGTTTGTGTCCAAACTTCCCCATTTTATAAAGACACTGGTGGCATTCGATTAGAGCTCATCCCAATGACCTCATCTTAACGTAGCTACCTCTGTCAAGACTATTTGCAAATAACGTCACTTTGTGAGGTATGACAGGTTAAGACTCCAACACGGGAATTTGGAGGGGACACTATATGTGTGAGTTATGTAAACAAAGGTGATTTTGAAAGATACACGAGGAAGTGGTAACAGCAGTTGCTTGGGGAGGGGACCCGGGAAGTGGGTATTCAGGTGGACAGACATGTCCTTTACCTTGAGGAACCTTTTGTAATTTTGATATTTCATTATGAAAAAAATTACCTATTATTTTTAATACATTCAAATATTAATAATGTATCAGCTACATCTGCATATATTTATACTTAACCATAGGGTTAAGTCAACAAGCATGTATATTAACTGTGGCCATTTCTGAAGGATGGCTTTGGAGGGGTGAAGTGGTAGGGAGACTAATAACTCTTTATGTATCTGTTTTGGGATTTTTTCGTCTTGTTTTGAGACAGTAACTGGGATTACAGGCATGCACCACCAGGCCTGGCTAATTTTTTGTAATTTTAGTAGAGACGGGGTTTCTCCATGTTGGCCAGACTGGTTTCAAACTCCAGACCTCAAATGATCCACCTGCCTCAGCCTCCCAAAGTGCTGAGATTACAGACATGAGAGACTGTGCCCAGCCTGCTTTGTTTGTTTGGAGACAAGGTCATGCTCGGTGCCCAGGCTGGAGTGCAGTGGTGTGATCATGGCTTGTTGCTGCCTCAACCTTCTGGGCACAAGTGATCCTCCTTCCTCAGCCTCCCAAGTAGCTGGGACTACACACATCTGTCACCACACCTGGCTAATTTTTAATTTTTTTGTAGAGACCGAGTCTGACTTTGTTGCCCAGACTGGTCTCAAGTTTCTGGGCTCAAGTGATCCTCTTGCCTCAGCCTCTCAAAGTGCTGGGATTACAGGTGCACGCCACCATGCCAGGTCTGTATATGTTTTAAATCAGAGATTAGCAAGCTTTTTCTTAGAAAGCCAGAGAGCAAATATTTCAGGCTTTGTGTGCTATGTGGTCTCTAACACAGCTGCTCCACCCTGCTGCCGTATTTTGAGCACATCCAGAACTAACACGTGTGGCCGTGTTCCGATAAAACTTTATTTACAAAACTAGGAAGCCAACCCATGAGCTGTAGTTTTAAGTTACAGGATTACGGGGTATACTGGCTTTCTAGGGCTTCTGTATCAAATTACCAGAAACTGGATGGCTTCAGACAACAGAAATGTATTCTCTTGCAGTTCTGGAAGCCAGGAATTTAAAATCAAATTGTCAGCAGGACCATGGCCTCTCCAAAGGCTCGAGGGAGGAGGATCCTTTTTTGTCCCCTCCAGCTTCTGGTGGTGGTAGGGATTCTTTGGCTTGTGGCTGCATAGCCCCCATCTCTGCCTCTGTTTTCACATGACCTTCTCCACTATTGGTGTCTGAGTCAAAAGCACCTCCCTAGGCTTCCTCTTAGTAGGACATCTGCCACTGGGCTTAGGACCTACTCTAAATCCAGGTCAGTCTCATCTCAGGATCTTTAGCTAATGACACCTGCATAGACCTTTTTTCCATAAAGAGTCACATTCACAGGTTTTGGGGATTAGGATGTAGGCATATCTGTTTGGGGGCTGCTATTTTGGCCCGTGAGATCTGCTTGCTTGGTAGTAGTTTCCTCTGAAGATCAGATTTCACCCTCTCTCTGTCTTGTGTAGACTGTCCATTCAATTAAAACACACATGCATGTAAAAATGTACCCTCAAGCCTGGAGTCGGTGACTTACAGGTCACTGTGTTTCAAAGTCAACAGATATTTATTGTTATGTCTTTAATTAAGTAATAATTGGAGGGTTGTTTCCTGCACAGTGATATTGAACAGATATTGATAGGTGATATGAATTAAATGACAACTGGGGGGTTGTTTGGTGCACACCGTGACCCTGGTTAGGGAGGGCTGGGGCAGGCTTTATGAGGCAGCTCTGAGATATTTGCCTTTTACAAGAAGGCCAGTGCTGCACAGCTAGTCCTAGTTTCATGTACTTTTACTATTTTCATGAACTGCCTTTATTAAAATGTACAACTCAATGTAGCCTGCCCTAAAAAAATTCACAAATCAGAAGGTCTTTCAAAGGTATTAAAAGAAAATGGAATGCCCTTTATGAATCCCCACATCCCAATTCTGGATCCAGAAAATATGGTCGTCACATGTGGGGAGGAGGGACCATTCTCAGGCCATATATTCCCGTGCATTTAATAAGCAGCCACGTTATAACATCATTATTAGTCTTGCTCAACTCCAGCCTTCCTGTTTTGTCTCCTGCCTCCTTTCTTCTCCCAGCAGAACTAATTCAGGGGCACCGAGATGCCACCAGGCTGGGCTCTCCAATTATACCTAGAGGTTTAAAAATTTAGCCTCGTCTAAGCCAGCTCCACCCCTGGGCTTCATCAGTGTACTTCTTTGGGAGGCCAAGGTAGGAGGATCCCTTGAGCCCAGGAATTTAAGACCAGCCCTTGCAACATACCAAGATCCCGTCTCTACAAAAAAGCACAAAGATTAGTGAGGTGTGATGGAGCACGCCTGTAGATCCAGCTACTTGGGAGGCTGAGGTGGGAGGATCACCTGAGCCCAGGAAGTCAAGGCTACAGTGACCTATAATTGTGCCACCACACCCCAGCCTGTGCAACAGAAGGGGAGACCCTATCTCAAAAACAAAACAAAACAACTCCCCCCACCCCGAAGAAAAGGCATAATTATATGTACGTGAGGGTGTGAGAGAAGTCGTGTTTTGTCCCTGAGGGAATTAACTTCCCAGCTGGAGAAAGGCCAGTAATTGGGGAGGGATTCTAGAAGGTTCTAGAAGACAATGGAGAGAGGAGAGGAAAGCAAACCTGATTTCCTTCCTGTGTCAGTTGGTCCCACTGAGCAGAACCAATGGGCACCCAGCTGCTCTGGCTAGACACCTAGGGGTCGTCCTGAGACCACCCCTCACTCTTCAGCCTGTGTCTAACTCATCAGCAAGTTCTACCAACTCCATTTCCCAAAAGATTTGCCAAACACATCATCTTTTCCCTGTCTCCACTGCTGTCAAGCTAGTCCAAGCTCTTATTGTATCCACTTCCTGTGGCTGCTGTAACAAATGGCCCCAAACTTAGTGGCTTAAAACCATGCGCACTGATGATCTGCAGTCTGGACCGCAGAAACACCAAAGCCAAGGTGGGGGCAGAGCTGCTTCCCACGGAGGCTCCAGGGGAGAATCTGTTTCCCGTAGCTCCCAGCTCCTCCCTCCATCCTCAGAGTTCTCTCTTTGACCCTCTCATCTGTGGTCACATCTCTTTGCTCCACCCCTCCTGCTGCACCTCTGTCACACACTGAGCTCACCTGGATAATCCACAGTCATCTCCTCATCTCAAGATCCTAATTTATCACTTGAAGAAGTCCCTTTGCTGTAGAAGCCAATGTACTTATAGGTTCCAGGCATGAGGACGTGGACACCGTTGGAGGACATTATTCAGCCCGCCAAAGCCATCATCCTGCCCGGGTTATTCCAACAGCACCCTCGTTGTCCCCTTGTTCTGTCCTTTCCTTCTACAGTCTAGTTAAAACAAAAGCTAGACTGACCAGTGCCTCCTCTGCCTAAGCCTTCCAGCGTGACCAGGGGCTGACCAAAAGAAGAAGGTCTCACCTCAGTCTCTGACTTTGCTTCATCCCTTCCAACCTCCCTACTGGTCTCCTTCACCTTCCTGCAGGCTTCTGCCCCAAGACCTTTGCAATCGGCCATGTTCTTTGCCTGGACCACCTTTCCCCCTCCATGGCTCCGCTCTCTCACTTCCTTCAGATCTCCCATCAAAGTTCATCTTCCCTGTAAAGCCTTCCCTGGCCACCCTCTCTGAAAGGGCACCACCAACTCCATCCTACCCCATCCCTCTCATCCCCCTGTAGTCCATTTTTTTCATAGTCTTGTTATGACCTGGCATTTCCTACTTTTTCTGTGCCTGATGTTGGTTTCCCACAGTAGCAGCATTCTCCAAGAAAGCAGAGATTGCATCTGATTTATGGACTGTCCCTGGCACCCAACCCTGTGCCCGGACAGACCCTCTGAGGCAAGACCTTTGGTTTGAATTGTTTTCTGGCCCCTTATTGACCAAACCTTGAGGAATTGACTCAATGGGTAACCACGGCTGCAATGCAAGAGAGATTTGGGTAAGGGTTGTGGGTTGGGAGAGAAAGGAGGAGGAGACTTTCCCTGCTTGGTATGAGATGGGGAGGGCGAGGATGGCGGCTTCAAGAGTGAGAATGTGCAGAGGAACTGAGAACTTAGCTTTGTTCAGAGTGAGGAGTCATAGGGAGAAAGTTGTCGCCCTCTGGCTCCCATCCTTTGGTCGCTCCTGGGCATGGTCCAGAGGCACTGGGGAGGACTTCTAGAAATGTATCATATAGCTACGCTGACACATTAATATTTACTGTGATTGTTTGCAATCACCAAGGATGGGCAACAGCTGAAACGCCCATCAGTAGAAAACTGGTGGAACAATGGGTAAGATATCATGTAGATATTAAGAAAAGAATGAAGCAGTGCCCAGGTCTTGATTTCAAATCTATTCTTTAATGAAAGGAACCAGGGCTCGTTGGAGTAATGGCTATTTCTAGGGCTGGGGCAGGGAATACACAAGGTGAACCTGGAGTATCTTGTAATGCCAAAGAGTAAGACAGAGCTCAAAACAAATTTTTTCCCCTAATGGGATACAAGAGCCAACTGAAAGGGTCCCCAGTGTTCAAGGCTGGAACATTTAGATTAACAAAATAAATAATGTAGCCAGGCA